CATCAGGCGGCATTAGGCGGTCGTCGCAATCTCATTGCCTCCCGATTGCAGCTCTCGGCTCTCAATAATTTGTTCTGAGAGCTTCTGATAAACTTATTCACAACATAAATAATAAGCCTGATGAATTTCCGAAGATATTCTATAATTTTGGTGGTAGTTTGTACGCTGCAGCCGCCACTGCCTCTCACACTACTGCCTCTCAGCGTTGCCCGAAAATTGAAGATGAAAGTTTTTAGTGAAGTACTTACATTTTTGGGTGACGTACATAAGTTCTTATTAAACTATTTGAAGTAATCTTAGTTCGTGATGAAGTACATGAAATTTTTGTTAAAGTACTTGAAGTAATTAAGGTTCTTGGCAAAGTACTTGACGAAATTTGAGTTCTAGTTATAGCACTTGAAGTTTTTGGCGAGAGTAGTTTCTGTGTGAGGTCACTCACGATGCCCGCGAACGTGTTGGAACTGGACTCTTTTGCACAATAATTTCGTGGGGCTGAATCGTTTTCATGCCATTTTATCGTAAGAGTTTCCTGCCGGTTTTTTACCTGTTCAATGTATTTAAATTAGAATTCGAGGTTCATTTAGCCTACTTGATTTATTTAAATTCTTTTATTGATTAATAACGGATTTTACGAATCTGCTTAACGCTTTAAGGGTTGGAAATGTCCAGCCACTCTAAAGACTACCACATTCATGCAGACCCTGTCAATCTGCCTCATGCATACTTTAGTTTTATCCTAATTGTAAAACCGAGCTGCTAGTTTATCGATTTATATCTAAAATTTAAAGACAAGGCGAACTCGTACTGTGCACTTGCTTTCCTTCTTGCATAAGCAAGAAAAATTCCGACTACTTCATCTTTCGCTGAATTCATGTAAAGACGATCTTTAGTCTGCATGCTCGGCTCAAGTTGGAAGCGCCTCAAGAAATTTGAGTTCAACATGAAACCGTGAAACTTTTTTATAAATTGCCCAAGTTCTAGCGTATCAATTAAACTCTCCTGAGAGGAGAACTTTGCTCGTAACCTGGAGGGGTTCTTGCTCGCTAGCAACTTGAACAAAAGACGACTGTTTACATCAACTTGCAGCGTTGTGAGACTATTCTAATGCCTGCTTTTCCATTAAAAAAAGGCTATTTGATAACAAATGTCGGTTAATTTAACCGTCTCCATGACTACCGGAGTAATACAAATAGTTACTATACGTCATTTTCAACCCGTAAAGCCAGCATGATTTTTTGCCCTAAACGCCCGTTATGAAATAATGCTTTAGAGTGTCTGCAGAATTGATTTTTAAAATTGTGTCTACAGTTAAGTATTTATAATTATTCTGTTGAAATGGATAATAAAGAAATAGATACCATGTACAATTTTTTAGCGATGTAAGCAATTCTCCGTCTTCGACTTTTTTTACTGAACCAAACCTCGCGAAAGATGTTGGGAAATTTCAACTTTCTACAATAATTGTTCATTCATTAAACAATACTTGACACCCTATTCCCTTCTTTATTTGCAAAGGTTGGTCTAATGAATGTTTCGTTGGAGCCAATATTGCAACGCTGATTACAGAAGCCGCAATATTGTCTTAACGCCTGCGGCTGTCTTGAGTAGCTGGAGATTGTCGAGGCCTGTGCTCACTGATATATGTAACTTGCGGTCTGAGAGTACGAGTCAGCTGGCATCTTGGGGTCTGAGAGTACGAATCAGCCGGCATCTTGGGGTCTGAGAGTACGAGTCAGCGGCATTTTGTGGTCTGAGAGTACGAGTCAGCTGGCATCTTGGGGTCTGAGAGTACGAGTCAGCTGGCATCTTGGGGTCTGAGAGTACGAGTCAGCCGCCATCTTGGGGTCTAAGAGCACGAGTCAGCTGTGACAATAAAATAGTTGGAATAATAATAAAACCATAATGCTGTGCTAGACCGCCTGTAGCCCTGCTCTAGTCCAGGCGAGTGTTAATAAGTAGCGCTGTATACACATCGCCTCCTCTCTCCCAGCTCTGTGGTTTTCTGCTCGAATTGTACCACTCACGTCAATGTTTCACGTCCTCACTCTGGTCTTTCCTGAAGACACTAAATGGCTGAATTGAAATCCTTGTATTGAGACTCAATGGACCGAAGTGCAATAACTGGAAGATTGTCTTGCCAGGTTCCTTTCTTGGAGCCGTAGTTTGTTCCCCTCTAATGCGGGGCTCTGTTTTTATACCGTTAGTTGAATTAACTTTGTGCTAAGAGGGTTGCTACAGTCCAGTCTTTCATTTTTCTCGAGGAGAGACTGGCATGAGTTTAATCTGATTTTAATCTGATTTGTTTAAGTGTTTACGAATTGTAATTAACATTTTCCTGTTTTTTAGTTTAAGTAAGCTATTAATTAAAATTTTGATTTATTTTTAACTAAAATGCTGCAAGTTTTAACGTACTTTGTAACTTGATATCAATATATCCTTTTGTTCTACTGATTGTTGACATTGACTCACTCAAACAAAAGTTTATAAAATAGTGCCTGGATTGAGAAATACGAGACTGTTTACATTTTCCATTATGCTTTCATTTTAAGAAACGCAAAATCTAAATAAATTTTAGGATATGGTTTGTAGAAATGAACAGAGTGTTATTCGAAATATGGACCTTCCTATTACAAACCATGATTCTGAGACGACAAAGGAACTTTCACCTCTCACTTCTCTATAATAATGTCAATATTAAGAGTATTATAAGCCTAGTTTCTCTCACTTTTGAAAGTCTTCTGAAGTATCACTTTTAAGTTTCAAAGAAACTCTTCAACGTTGAAAGCACATATCATTCCGATTTTGCAACGCTTTTAGTTCATAGCTAAATTTTGATCTGCTTTACAATATCTTAAATCCCGCATTTCCGAAAACAAGTAGAGGAAAACAGTAAAATTTTATCTATAAAATATTATTTAATTTTGAATAATTCACTTCAACTCATTGGAAATTTTTGGCGAATCCCGTCGTCCTCATACAGCTACTAAAAAAATATTCCGTCAAAGTTGTGTGACATTTTTCTGTGATTGTCTTTCAGCCACAAATTTATTCCACGCCAATTTTTTTAGGAGTCAAGACCTAAGGCAATGCTGCTCCATTAGCTTCTCTCCGACGATTCAATTTGCCAGTATTGAGTTAGGTTCACTGGTTCACATCCTTACTTCTAGACGCGTCATTTCGCTCAGCTAGCACCCGAACGCGTTTCCTGTAACGTGTGTGTGATTCTTGAGAAATGTTCGAACTTCCCATATGGTAGAGCACTGTAAGTATAAATTAATGATTTCATTGCAGCGCCTTTGAACTTTTGCTTGATGTAAGAGCGATAAATGGAATTGTATTTGGATTTCAATTTTTAAATAATTAATAATTTTCTTAAGTAATATGGACTCTAAAATAATAATACTTCTCATTAAAAATATTATAAACGAATTAAACTTCTCAAACTAAAAGTCTTGCAAACATTGTTCAAATTTCTGCGCTTCATGCGTTCAGTGTGAATTTCTTGAATTTGGTAGTAAAATTGGTGCCTGGCTTATGTTAAGAGAATTTAATTATGAATACTTTTTTCTAAATTTCTCGCAGATGAAATGATGCAGATATGAATTAATATCACTAATCGTCACCATTTATTTAACTTTTACTTCTGCGAGTATGAGGCCAATGAGGAATCATGTAGATTCATCGCTATCACGTGTTGTAGTGAGTATATATTACATATATGTTCCAAACTTGGATGAAACGGATGTTGATCGAGCGCATTAAATTCAGCCAAGTCAGCTCAGAGTCAAATTACGACTGAAAAGTTATTCAACCTCAAGGAATGTTCATGCGCTACATATGCTATAATCGAAGGGCTTACTCATCAAGATTCTATTTTAAAACCTAAAATAAATGGCCAAGCTTTGTCGTATGTACGGAGCGCGCACAAACATTTTGGCTGGCCTGAGATCAAGCTCTAGATTTATTCTTGATAAAATATGAAGTATTTTTATCCGTATTTACAATTTGCTGTTTATGCCAGCAATTTATCTAACTTTCACCCAAGAAAACTCAATATTTTTGCCATGGAGAATTTTGCTGGCGTTAATTTACTTACAAGTTACCTAATTATCTGCAATTGATATTGGCACATTCTGGTCTATTAATTAAAATGTTCAACCCTCCTCAATTGAATAATAATCTTCCCGACATAAGCATATTAAAATTCCATTTCAAAAGCCACCGGATTTATTTAATTCTCGTGCAATATAATGGAATACGGAATAAATTAAACGTTTTATTTTGCATACGCGTAACCCAGACTTGTGCCAGCAGCTCATTAAATTTTTTGTCTTGGAGTTCAGAATTTTTGTTTCTTGACAAAATTTTTTTGGCCCTGTGGCAGTCTTCAATTACCGACCGCCTTTACATTTATGGCCGTGAATTATTTATATCAGAGCTAGAGCGAAATACTTGAATTGTATTATTTGTATTATACGCGTGATATATGAAAAATTTTGACCAATTAGGGATCGCCTTCCATTCTTGATTTGTGTTGTGGTAAATGATTCAAACTTTTTATTCTGAATACGGCAGAACATCACTGCAACGGCGCTTCATTTCGTTCTGTTATTGGTTGCGTGTTTTCGATCCGTTTTGTGCCGTTCGAATTTGATATCAAAGTGCAAACGCAAAATTGAAATGAGAGCTCGGTGACTTTATGGCATTTGTTATATACTTTGGCTTAGATTCTTTAAATGTCTTGTGTCCTATGTTTTTTATTTAGGCCAATTTAATGCTCAGAGAAACCTATTAACGATTTTTATTTGTTCATAGAAAAGAAAATAAACTACAGTTTTGATTGCTTCATTCTATACAAAATAAACTTAGTTATCTGCATATTTTCAAGTCCGTGATACGTGATTCATCCGTAATCAACGAAGTATTCATTATTTACATTAATTTAACTATTTGCGTATATCCCCACTCTCTGTCATTAAATATCATGTTTTTTCCCACAGAACATGGCGGCCAATGAGAGCGGCCCGTGGGTGGACGACTTTGAAGGGAGTGGATTCCTGAACACAACCGAAGCGACGCACGCAATGTCAGACCTCGAGCCTGAGATCGAACAGATGAAGGTGCAGCTCGAGGAGATGAGATTCGTCGTGCAAATCGTGCTTGTTCCCTTCATCACTGTGATCGGAGTGTGTGGCAATATTATCACCATTGCAGTTCTTACCAGGAAGTCCATGAGATCATCTACGAACTTTTACCTCACAGCCCTAGCACTGTCAGATATGCTGTACTTGCTTCTCTTCTTCTCGCTGAGCTTGCAACATCACCCTGGGATGAGGGAACCGCACACTTGGGTCTACTGGCACTTCTCGCGCTTTGCTATGTGGTTCGTCGACGCCTCAAGTGAGACTAATACTAACATTATTGTCGCTAGCCTTTTATTAAATGTCATTAGTTTTCGATGTTTATTGGTCAGAATCAAGTAATACTGATACTATCAACTATTTTCTCCATCCGTTTAATTCAATTCAATAGTTTTCTAACAGTTATCGATCAGAATCAAGTGAAACTAATACACAACACTATTGTCGCTAGACAATAATTGAGTTTCAATAATTTTCGAACATCTATTGCTCAGAATTTGTAACCTAATGAAGCGTTAAGATCTTTGACCATATCAGATTATCGAAATTATCGTTTCTGATGTCTTGCCGAAAGTTTTATCGAGGTTTCAAGTAAGATCAATTAGTCACACTACTGTCGCCAATCTTTGATTAAATATTAATAGTTTTATAAACATTATTGATCGCAATTTTTACCATCTTAACATTTGTACTGTCTTCGATCATTTGGGTATTGTCGACTTGCATTCCTGGCGTCATGCAGACCAAAAGTTTTATTGAAGACTCAAGTTACTCAATTTGAAATCGCAATTTTAAATATACTTAAATCTCTTAGTTCTATCAATCAATTAATAAGTTAAGTAGGTTGAAAATTGAAAGTTTTTCAGAACCCCATTTCCTTTTCCAAATGTGATTGTTTTAGAAAATGCTTGAGTAATTAAACTCAAACTGGAATGAGCTAAATAACTGAAATGTCAGTTTAATTTTCCGTAGAGTTTCTTTTTTCATTTAGTCAATTCGGCTAAACTATATACTTATGGATGATTGTTGTACTTACTCGTAAAACGAAAACTCTATAAAGAAGTTTATTAATTTTGTGTGACAACCCACTATCTGATTTTTTATTTCTAAACAACCAATTGTTGAAAATGGGCGCCTGGTATCACAGAAGAATTTAAATTCGCTTTGAAATAATTTAACTAACTTGCAGTTATTTAAAAACGTTTGGTCAAAAATTTTTTCCATATTTTTCTGCCTATTGATACCGTGTTTGATAAAGAATGCGGCAGTCGTTAAATTTGGTTCTTTCATAGATTTAATTCTTTGACTAGCGTTACTGAATTTGTCTTCAATGAATAATGAGCAAGAGGACTCAAATTTACTATTCATCATAACTCGAATTTTAAATAATCCACACCAGATAATTTAAATCCCATTTGAAATAATTTTGTTAGGCACGTCTATTGTACAAATGACGGTGAAAACATTGCGCTTTCGAAACGTGTTAACAGGCCCGTATTATTGTTCGCTTTGTCCGCAAAACTCTGAGTTGTTTTGAATGCGTTCAGAAGACTGCCGGTGTCGGCAGTTCTTTGTAGACAACATAAATTATTTTTTAATGAAAGAATTTTTTAATGAAAGAGGGCAAAGAATTGTGTGGTTTTGATGCCCACAAAGGAAACTGCCTCATTTGAGATTTTCTTTTCAGTGACTGTTTGCCAGGCTTTTTTCTCTGTTCTGTCGATTTTTGTCTTTAGCTTTTTTCTTTAATTAATCTTTTCGCGAGAAAAAAGTGTCTTATGAGCTCTATGCTTAGAAAGATCGGGTAGGTAATGTTTTATAGTTTCGTGTTAGTAAACCCTATTTGAAATCTTGGAGTTGCGTGTAACATACATTTTTTGTCATTAACTCTTAAGTTTCTGTTGTTAAATTCTCAAAATTAGTAAATAGGACGAACAGCCTGACAGCTTGGAAGGCTTTAACTGTATATGGACTATAATTCGATCAATAGACGTCGGGACGTGCGATATATGTCATAAAATCACCGCGGCTTAAGCGGTTATATATTTATATATAAGTATATAAATTACTTTATAAGTAACTATAGGTAACTTCAAGTCTGGCTTTCAGTGCATAAATCCAGACAGTTCTTATAAAGATAACACACCTACGATATTGAAGTGATAATCATTCATGTTCGGGCCACAATCGTGTTAAAAATAGTAGTGATTGTTGCATAGAAAGTATGATATTACCTAATGTAAATATTTTCGTGTTTGATGCAATATAATGAACTTGAATTACATTAGCATCGAGTCTATCATATATGAGAACTTGTTATCATATTTGTAAGATCGTTCGTTTTTCAATGGCCATTCAGTCTGAAATATTAGAATGTCGGTCAGTCCTCCCGCGCACTCCATAATCCTGAAGCAATTTTTATTTTAGGATGCGTTCACTGCATACATTAGTTATCGGCGGTTCATACATGACCTGCGCTTCACGTTCATCCTATAATTACTTTCAGATCTCCCTGCATTTGTCACATTTGTTGACAAGGCTCAAGACTAGTTCGATAGCAGTGAATAGATTTAGTGCTTTTCATAATTAATTTCAATATTTATCATTTGGTTTAGTTAGTGCCAGTTGTAATTTTCTTTATTCCTCACAACTAATTTATTTACAGCAACTCCTCATCTTAGCATATGATTAGCAAGCCGTAGCCTTCGTACGCAGTAAGCGCTAGTACTGTGAACTGGAAATCATCTCGAACAATGCGCAGCTCTTCTTTAGTTTCTGCCACAATATTTCTGTCACGATATTGAAATAAAAACTCAAATTGGAAGCTGTTCGGTGCAGTATTTGGAAGCGAAGTGCTGGAGAAAATTCGGAATTTTTCCCTGATACGGAAGCAATCCATGATATACAGTTAGATTTTTAGTTGAAATAAGAAATAATTCTTGAACTCGAAGTTCAATTATAATTAGTTTCCGCTCTTAGAACTCATGAAATTCATAATACACAGTCCGCTGTAATCCATGAGCGCCGCTATTCCTCCAGGCAATCATACGGGCACTTTTGTCTTCCTATGCATTCACTTGAAGGTCGCCTGATGTGTCTTACCCTGCACCGCGAGCTCAAACAAAGTCTTGTATGCATTTATGATGACAAGCCACGCCTGGCGCTGTGCTCTGCGCCGACACGGAATAAATACACAGATTTTCTTAGCGACAAGGCGACCTCTCCTCACTCAAGAGGATTGTCCGCTAGAAAGTGGGGAAAGTTCGCAAGAATAATGTAAAGATTCGAGCCTTGATGAATATTTAAAGGAATCTCACGAGGATGTTACTCGCTACATTGATTAAGAAAAACAAACCGTTCCTGCTGTGTTTCCGACCTTTCATGTAGAGTTTTTGCTAAAAATTTAATGGTTTTCTTATTTTTTGCTAAATTCAGACTCTTTTGAATATCTTTATATCATCATCGATGAATGCAATCGTTCTTGAAGCAATTAAAGGGATCTAATTAAGTAAATAAGTCTTGAACACTTCAAGCTTTCTTTAAACAATAGCGCCGTAATCGGCAATTTCAATTGGCGGCTTAAGTTGGAAAATTTACTTGATTCTATTAATATTCATGTGGATTTACCGATTGCTCTATTGCTTTCTGAAGAAAAAGCTCACAAACCTTGGAAACTATTTGCTTCTTCCGAATGAAGTCAAAACGACAAAAGTGACGTCACATTGTCAAGCAATTGTCTCACTTTAATGTCATAAACGTAAGATTGCCACTGCATGTCGCGTACAGATCGAGTGTTCCAAGCTTTTCTCCGTGACTTGATTATAAAGTTTATTAACTGCTAAAAGTCCGGAAATAGTTCAGTTTGAGCTATTAAGCCATCAAAGTTTCAATGAAATTAGATGTTTTTTCGCTTGTGATCGTCGGGAAATTCCGTGCTGCGAACAAAATGTTCAAATGAGAATTAAAAATCTAATTACGTGTCTAATGCTTAACTGACAAAAAACTCTTGTCATTTCCTCATTTTGACTGTTCATGAACAGAGAAAATAATATATTTGAAAAGATAATATTTTCATATCATTTTTATTCCTATATTTGTGGTGGCTTGCACTCACTAGCTAATAAGTTTCCCAGAAGAGGATCACTAAGCTTAGCCTTTTGCGTTCTTTTTTAATATGACCACGACGAAGACTCATTTTTACTTCGTGATTAGAGTCGAAGTAATAACATTTTAGAAACATATATTTTCCGCGAATTCAATATAGCTCAAAGAGACGCATTCCTTTGACACACAATTTTTTGCGCAGATTTTTTTGCTACGGATTTACAGCACAAATATTCTTTTTTAATGCATTTTCTGTATTAGTTTACAGCTCATGGGAAACTTTATCAATAAATTCTAGACGGGGCATTTATCGGAGGAGATTCTTCGTTACCAGAGAAATTTCTTTCGAAAGAACATATCCGATTTATTTCTGCAAACGGGCACTTCATTGAGATAAAAATGCAAATCACAGCATTGGCGAACAATATTTTGGATTCATACTCTTTTTAGCGCATTTCCTCATTTATAGAAAAAAGGCGCTATTTTGCTTGTCATGTCCGTCTGTCTGTCCGTCTGGCTGTCCGTTTGTCCGTGACTTCAAGTTTTCGTCGACGAGAAAATGCGCTCTTTGACACTCACTGCAGTGAGTACTGAGTTATATTTTTCCATTGTTTGACTGCACTTGTAATAAATTAATTTTTAGGTCCTCTATATTCATTCTTTTAATTGAATAATTTTATTAATATTATACAGAGAACTGATCCCATTTTTCGTTCGTTTCAGGTGCAACGTCAACCTGGTTGACTGTCACATTCACAGTCGAGCGCTACATCGCCGTGTGCTACCCGATCAAGAAGAATGTAAGTCAAAAGTTCAGTCATTGATCTGGCTTTTCAGAATAAATAAAATGGTTTATTCTGACAATCTAACTCATTCATTTCTTCCGACCGTAAAGTTTTGTTTGTGCTCACTGAAGGCGCAATAATATTTACAGTTGCACATGTGCTTGGTCTATGATGATGGCAAAACTAGTGACGTTAATGAGGCTATAAAAAGCTTATTAATTGACTGGTATCTTTCAGAATTATGTGTTTATTCTTTGTTTATTTGTATACGCACTAGGTCCATTAATCAACTAGCAAGTATTATAGAAATATTCGTCAATACTCGGCTGTTAATTATTAATCATTCCATTCAGCGTTATTTCTCCCTATTTTCCTCATGGATTTTGCATTATTTTATTTGATGTTGAACAAACGAATAATGAGAACGAATGCGCTTTCATATACGTATTCTCTGAAGTCAAAGCAGAGATTCTCGTGCGATGCGGAAGCTTTCTGTGTGCGGTTCTTCCAGCAACATCATCTCGTCATCCTACACAAGATGCGAGCTGTGCTCGAGAATACGAAGAGTCCATTTATTCTTGAAATATTGATGCGACTAGACCTTCATCTTAGTGCCCTCTGAGACCTAAACTTTTACTGCGTCGCATTATTTGCATTTTTGACCTGATTTTTCCCTGTGGTTCCATCTTAGATGTTCACCATTGCATGAATCAAGCTCCTATAATTTTTATTCACAAGCGAGGTTGCATGAGCAGGTGCGGGAAAAATCCTGAATGAACGTCGAAACCGTTCGACCAAAATTAGAGGATATCAAGGGGGTATTTCATGCGTTCAAAATGGCTCCTGTTTCCAAGACGCGTATATTCAACTCAAACTTGCCTGCCTACTGGGACCAATAAAGAAACATTGTTTCATTTATTTGTAGGAATTTTTAGGCAATGACACGTGCCAACTGTTGCTGCTTCCTTCTTAGGGACGGCAGGAAATTTCGGCATCATGCCAAATTATTTTCTTGAAAGACTGAGCTTATTTCAAGTGAAATCTTCTTATGTCAGCCTCCCTGCATTAAAGGCAAGAAGCTGCCACTCGTTTCTTTATGACTACCTTGTTTCCATGTTCTCAAATAAAGCTCCAGATTCAACAATGGGATCTGAGGAGCGAAATGTTAAAGGAACACCGGTATATTATGACGCGGAAGTTAGGATCGAAGTCGAGGCGACACGTACGACTTTTATAACAAGAGCAGCTCTGTTTCACTCATACACCGCTAGATGGCACTGGTTGCCGAGTTATTCAGTGTAAAAATGTTTTTAGGCTCCGTTGATCTTTTTATGAACTTTAGGTGATTTTATCTACTGTAAAATTATTTGATTCGGATGTCGACGCTCTTCATGGAACGCTCTTCGATTTAACTTAGACCTCGAACGAATTAACATTGACTTGCGAAATTCGCCTGTCTTTAATATCACTATCAGCGATTCATGGTTACAAATATTTGGAATGGGGTCAATATTCTCAACACAATCGTATTGCACTAGTTCATCGTTCTGGAAACCACGAATCTGCTTGAAAATTAATTTTTTTCCCCGACCGTACTGCTTAGTGGCCATCGTGTCTGCATGCAAACTTTCGTTCAAATTAGCACAAAAATTATGAACTTGAGTAGAATCCTCGTTGGTAAACTGGATATATAACAACATAACATAACATAGTGATCTCGGCGCTGAAGCGTAGGCCTGATGTGGCCTGTCGCCGATTCTTTTCCTTTTCGTGACTTGTTCATAGAAGATCTAAAATCGTGTCATTTGACCGGATCTTTTCATGACTGACGATAGTTTGAAGTAGCTACTAGACTTCCACCGAGTTCGATAAGGTGCTAGGCATTTCAAATCTGAACATATCTTTTTCCATAGCTTTATCTAGTCTGTTCTTGAACGCGTTCATACTTGGAGCGCCAACGATGTCATCGGGGAGGCTGTTCCACATGTCGGTGATTCGAAGCGAGAAGAAATTTTGTCGCGTGGAGAAGTTGCAGCGCAGTTTTTTAGCTTATAGCTGTGGCTCATGGTGTTGGTTCTTGTTTCAAATTCTATTAATCCTTCGGGGACCTTGTATAGACCATGAATATACTTGTATACTTCAATGAGGTCCCCACGCAGACGTCGATAACTGAGGCTTGGAAGCTTCATAATCTTCAATCTTTCTTCATAGGACTTGCCCTTCAAGCCTGGAATTATCCTTGTTGCACGTCTTTGAACATTCTCTATTAAATTTCTGCCCTTTTCAAATTTCGGTGACCACACGACGTTTCCAAACTCTAGGTTCGGGCGCACGACAGCAACAAACAACTGTTTCATCACTTCTGCATTTAGGAACTCGTATGAGCGTCTGATTAGTCCAAAAAGTTTGTTGGATGTGTTAGCTTGCGTTACTGACTTTTCTGACTATACTGACTGACTACTTAATAACTGTGTGTAGGTCTGGCAGATATTTTTCCAGAGAAATTACAACATTGTGCAATAATATACTGCTCGCTAGGCAGTTGATGTTCCCCGAGTCTGGTCACTCCAGGAAGCCCGCGCTGAGCAAGAAATCCACCACCCAAGCCAGCTCGGGCCAAAGCTGAGCGCTTGAGGTTATACCGTCACATATTCAGGTAGCTGCCAGCTCCGGGCACTCTAGCAGAATATGTTTGACTGTGTGAGGCAGTGCATGACAGGTCCAATTGAGCGTTGTCCAATCAATGTTATTAGGAGTATAATAATGGATGATGGTCCCAGCGAAGTCTGCTGAGGTGCAATCTGTCCCCCGGTTCAACAGCTTTTTTTATAGCTGATGTCTTGTGGTATGTCTTCTATTATATTGTTTATTTGTGGATTTGACATTGCGTTTATGTTTAGATGTCTGTGTTTGATGAAGTTGCTGGGTGTGTTGGCTGGAGTATGGAGTTGAGTATTGTGAGGTAGTGATTATACGGAGAGTTGAGTATTTGCTGGGTGTTGGGGGTAGGTTCTGAAAGTGATGGCATGGACTGTGGGGGTTGAAAGATGACGAAGCTAGAAATTTTTAGGCTCTCATATCTAGGAAATCCTTTAGTAGGATGACTTTTGTTTCAGCACGGACATTACTGGATGGTGTAGTTTATGCCTTTTGCAATTCAGAGTGCTGTATTTTGTATAGTCAGTAAATGAAATTAGTAAAACAAAGTAAACTACTATCATATTAGGCGAAGCCAAAGCGCTGCATGGTACCTACTTGGAGTATTTTTTGACGTGTGTTGCATTTCGAAGTTTTCCTTTTTATAGCAAAATAATTAAAACAATGTATCCACGCCTTCCTTAGCAAAAACATACGATACATCACAGTTTTCTGTACAATATTCTACAACTGATGCAAACCTACTTTCCACAGGTAATTAATTGTATGCATACCTGACCGACCGAGATCCTGGTAGGAACCGAACGAGTGTTTGTCGTGCCGTCCCTTGGGATGCGCGCAAGGAATTTAATTAAAACGCCTTAGTATTGCGGTGCTTGAATTCCGTCTGAAATTATCAAGGATTAAATTGTGCTGCTAATCAAATCGCCAACATTGTCAGGAAAGGGGCTGCTGATATAAGAAAGCATTTGTTGAACCATATGGATAATTTTTTTACCTGCCAAATGCAAATTCAACTATACGCTTTTTGCACTAGCATCTATGATTGAATTTCTATTCATCATGCACGTACGATTTTAATCCCTAATTTAATATTGGAATGAGTGATAGAATCCAATTATTGGACAAATTTTAGATCATGCACAACTTCATTAAAATGTTATCAATATTTAACACACTTTCAGTTCATTTATAGACGGTAGCCGAGTTCTACTTTGTAATGCTGGGCCCATACTTTCAAAAAAAGTTAAGAGATCGTAAGTTCATCAGCCAATCATTGACGGCCTTTCAAGCCATACTTTCAAGAAAAGTTAAGAGATCGTAAGTTCATCAGCCAATCATTGACGGCCTTTCAAGCAAAATCCACCAATCATAGACAAGAAAATAGAGCGTAAGTACTTACGTTCACTTAGCGAGTTTTGAAAGTATGGCCCCAGGATGGCGGCTCAGAAGCGAGCTGGTTGACTTACCGCACATCGCAATTACCGCCTGCCAATTGCCTCAATACGGCAGCCGTAATGGCTTCCTGTTGGACTATTGACGGACGCCGGATCATCTGTTCCCTTTGATGATCAAAAAACCCAAGGCCGACAAATATATCATGGATCAGTTTGCCGTGCGCTCGATGTCAGATGAAGCTTGTTTAGTGGTTTTTTCTATTGCTGAGATGATGGCTGAGATTACTCGTACAAAAAATATAGACCTAATCAGCGAAACAGAAAACGGGAGGTCGCTATTAAATAAAATTCAGTCTATTAAGATGATGAAAATTATATCACTATATCTTTTAATGAAAATTATCACGATTTGTTAAATCTGAATCCGTAAACATCATATCCGTTGAATCTTGGAACGTTATTGCAACTTTCAGCAATGTCAGGACTACAACTTATTTCAACTTCGCCCTTTTGCCATGAAAAGATCCAAGTTCTTCTGGTATGCAAGGAACTCCTATAAATTATTATGAGCAATTATCTGAGAATGAGAGACCGCATGGCACAGTTGGTTTCTTCCCACACTGTTTGGTAGGCTGTGTTGTGTGGACTCATTCGTAATGTTGTCTCCACTTACTTATATCCGCATGTCGGAGGCTCGTTTGGCCTGAAAATGCTTCAAATCGGAGAATTTCGTCAAATCAAGGATGTGTAGCAATGAATAAAATATTATTGAAAAGTTTATCCGCAAAAACATGAATATTATTCATCTGTTTATACACGCAAGATGAACCCCATATTATGAACAACATCCCGTACAGTTTTTCTCGCTCTCTGCTTGTAAAGCATGCACGATGTGAACATTTGATGAAACCAGTTTCTTGCAAATATCGCACGATTATACAATTCTTTTCAAAATATTAGGTGAAAGGTATAGCCTAAGATTTCTTCAGTGCATTACTGCTGGAATTGTTTCGGGGTTTTAGGCATCAAGGAAACTGATATGGGAAAATATTATAATATCATAAAATATTTGATCACCGAGAAGGAAACGTGCATTTTATGAAACGGCAAAAATTTAAAACTCAACAAAATGTACTTCCTAAGGAATATAAACTTTTAACTTCAAGCAAATATTCTGGGAAACAAGCAACGTGTCTCAGAATGAGACTTGAATTTCTCCGTTTGATCAACATGCAAATTTTCAATTGGTGAGCGAGCGTTGCACGAACGGTGGAGTAAAACCTGAGTTCCGTTTTTGAGTTTATTCTCTTGGTCTGAGCATCGTCTTGAGAGCTTGCAAACAAATCTGAGCCTCGAGAGATTCTAAGGGTTTTGTGAAACGAACGAATCCGCCAAGTGCCAGATTAAGCTCTATCTGCATAGTCTGTTTTGATCCTTGTTCCTTGGAAACTCTATTAAATAAAGTAGACTTTATTTCACAGAAATTTGCAAGAAATAAAGCCCCTGTGCAACCTCCTAATCACATGTATAAAAGCCGTTTCCTTTTAATTATTTAAAATCTCATTTGTTTCATGTTCTCCATTAATTGTTTCGATGGTTTTATCTAGCGTTAGATCTATTCCTGTTGCGTTCGTCTATGAATTTCTATTTTTCTTATATTCTTGGTAAATTTTAGCAGCTAAGGAGGTACTTAATAAGCTCAAATTTATTCGATATTGTCCTAATAAATCGCATCGTTCGCGATCAAGCAAATCTCCGTTCAACTCGACACATTAAATTCTTCCAATTTGCATTTTTAACAATAGCCGAAAAAAATTTTGAGGAGCTGTAAATTTTTTCCGTATACAACAAGGATCTTGCAAGCCTGAAAAATTTTCTGTTCCCTCAAAAGTTTGTTTGCTCGAAACTCGGAATTCATTTCTCGTCGCTGCACGCTTCTAGTAAATTAAAACGCTTTAAAACTAAGTCCAATGGCTGGTCATTCCCGGTTCACTCAAATGGAGAAGCCTTGGGTGCTTGCGCCTTTTGACGAATTTTTTTCGTTTCGAAACCCGCACCAAATAATTTGAAAGCCTTGCAAAACATTTTTCGACAAATTTTTTTCAACAAATTCCGCACAATAAAAAATTTACCAAAAATTTTCAATTCGAGAGTTCATATTCTAAATTTTGTTTCACTCAGTTTTCAATTACGTAGTGTAAAATTGCGATTTGCAAAACTGCTGCACTTATTTAGCGAAGTCTTACAAAGAGCTAAGTTTTTAACTTTAATGATGGATATCAATAGGAAAATTCTGGTTTCATTGGTTCTTTTTAGCGCATTTTCTCATTTATGGAAATCATTCCCTATATTGTGCTCGTCATGTCCGTCCGTCCGTCTGCACGTCTGTCTGTCTGTCCGTCCGTGACTTCACGTTTTCGTCACGAGAAAATGCGCTCTCTGTCAGTCACTGCAGTGAGTACTGAGTTATATTATTTTCGCTTAAGCACTAATGACAATTCGTCAAGATATACCTCATTGTTTTTTAAGGAATGGTACATTGTTAAATATGCCAAGTTTAAGGAATGGTACATATGATCTTACTATACCCTACAACTTTATTTCAACGTATCAAAACTCACGATTAAAATCTCAATTCTTTTAGCAATGTTTTTATTGTAATTAAACGGATAAATTACATGAATGAGCATTGATTTGTACACTTTTGGTCTAAAAGATGTAAACATAGTCGCTTCACTGCTTACACTTGACATTATTTTGAGCACAATTGTTCTATTAGCTATTAATTCCAGTACTATTGATATTGATGTATTTATATTTCTAGGACTATTGATATTGATGTATTTGGTAGCGGTATTGACTTGGTCCTGGAGCTACCCTGTGCTCGAACCACTGCTGATGTGTGTCCACGTGTGACAAGTGGGATATTATTCAGAACAAACTCCTTACATTGTGCCAGAGTTTGCCATTTTAATTCTTGTATTTAAATTGTATTTTTAAAGATATCATTGCACCTCTTGCATTCCACTTTATGCTAAATTCGAATATCGAAATATTTTTTTCTTTTTCATTCTTATTGCATATATGTTGTGCTAAAAGATTTTCTAACCACAATCGTAAGCACAGACTCGTTATATTCTACTCGTAAATTTTAGCGTTTTATTTGGAACATCTCTGGGCTGGTACTCAGTTCCATACCAAGTTTTATTCTACTAATAAATATTTGGTTTAATTTTTTGTTTTGACCGCCAGGTTTTCTGCACGCCGTCCCGCGCCAAGAAGGTCATCATCGCAGTGTTCGTGCTGTGCTACAGCCTCACCGCGTCCACTCCTCATGAGTGGCACGTCGCTGAGGTCCCTGTAGGATCTGGCAACGACTCCTCCTACAGGATGGCTCTACGCCCCTCCGACCTGGGCATGAACGGCGTCTACCAGCAGGTCAACTAACCATACCAGTTGATTTTATATTGATTGATGTATTAATCAAGTGTTTAAATTTTTTATAAATTTAATTCGTTTGGGGTTTTTCTTACGGATTTCAAATAAATATAATTTTTCGATTTATGTTTCAAGCCAAATTGTTCGTCTGAGGAAAAAAAAAAAAAAAACGAGAACTTCATAGGTTTGTGCAAACTCTCACACTGTTAACAGATTGAGAATTTCCAATTTCTATGGCATCGATTTTTTATAGTAATATTCCTGTAATCTAGTGAGACTGCTTCCTTTTTCATAATAGAGAGTGTACTCATAAATACATTTGCTCACAGGTATTCTACTGGTTCAGTGCAGTGACCTTCATCTTACTGCCACTACTGCTTCTCTCAATTTTCAACTCGTTCCTGATCAACACTGTGAACAAAAGCACGGCTGAGCGAAGCAAGCTCAGCGAACGGCCCCGCCATGACAAGTCTGTGAACAGAGCGCAGTCTCAGGAGAAGAAGATAACCCTCATGCTCATCGCTGTTGTCGTACTTGCACTTGTCTGCCAAACCCCCGCTGCCATCGCACTGCTCTACACTTCCTTCCATACTGTAAGTTCCTACTAAGTGGCTGCTCTCCCTTCACCGAACTCAGTTACTCTGCTCTGCTCTACGCTGCCTTTCATACTACGAGAACAAATTCCTACCTTTCCTACTAATGCGGTTTCTCTCACTTGATGAACATGCGGTTGCTCTCAATGAACATGAGGTTGCTCACAAGGAACATGCGGTTGTTCTCACTTTAGCTGACATTGTATTGAGAAAAAGATGTTTGCGTTTGTTTCTATATTCTTTAATCATCACTTGCATAACTAGTTCTATAGCAGGAAGCCTGAAAATTTTTATAGCCCTTTTTCATATTTCATTCGCTCATCCTTATTAAGAAATCCAATCTCATTCTCAAATTTCATTTAAAACCGGAAATAGAGGTTCCACAATCATTACTAAGATTAACCGCCATTATGCGGCAAAAAAATATATTCTATATTTATCCTCGACCTAAATATTAAATACTCCTATTATATCATGCCTACATATACTCCTATCAATCACTGTGCCATAAAATCACTTGTCAACAACAGAGTACGTGCGTTACAGCTGAAAATCTGATTTCATGACCTAATATTCAATTCGCCACGCAATCGCATGTCACCGACAGAATACCCAATCAATATTTACCGATGGATTACCCATTGACGGGCGTTACAGATCACGCCCAAATCCAAGGACGACTACGTGATGCGATTCCTCGGCAACCTCTTCAACCTGCTGACGGCCTGCAATGCTGCCCTCAACTTCGTGCTGTACTGCGCGCTCAGCGACAAGTTCCGTAAGATCTTCATGGCAACTTTCTGCAAGCGCTGCGCCCAGAAGCCCTCGCCGCAACACTCGGCCATCTCCGCCAGCTATGCGACCTCCGACAGCCACTCCAACAGGATGAGACGGGCCTCGTCTTCACCCTACAGAACTTCACCCAATACCAGGTCCGTTATATTCACGTCTAGAGTGGTCGAAAATTTAATTGGCTTCGTCCGAGATGCGTAGCTGAGGGATGTGCTGTGGAGAAAATAGTTCCGCTAGTTATAAATCAGTGAGTATCATCAATGTTGCGTGTTAGATATACAGTAGCATATTTTCAACCACTTGCGTCAGGTTAGGAAGATAAAAATCCGGTAGAAATAGAGTGATTGACCTCATCCCTCTTTGGCCCAAACATATGACTCGGGAGGATGTTTGATCGTTTACCTTGTTGCCAGCTGATGGGTAAATGCTCTGATGAGTACCTTCAGTTTATTCACCTCAGGTTCGGGATACCCGATAGTTCAACTGAACATATTCAATAATATATCTATCAACCTAATAAAATTATGGTTAAATTGTTCAAATGAAATAAATAGACAGATCTCATCGTTCGTTTTTTTCAGTATTCAAACCTAAATTTAATAAATTGCCTAAGTATATGGATATTAGTGCATGGTTCTTATTATAGGGTTGTTGTTATATTTTTGTTGTCAAGAGGTTTTTAAAATATTTTTCTCATTCATGTCTTGTTTTAAGGAGCAACAACTCGTCGCCGGCTCACAGCTCGCTCGCCGGCTCAGTAGCAAACCAGCCCCTGCTCCCGGCTCCCTCCAATCACACGCCCGGCACGAACGGCGACCAAAATGCGCCTCTGCTGCAAAAAGTAAGGCATTTTTTACTACTTTTGTTTCACATTACTTATTATAAAATTATGCCGAAGCATATACGCAATTTCGTACTGCTCTTCACCCTCTTTTCCGTTTATGTCTCCTCGTTTGAGCGCTTTTCTAGTGCGCTTGAACGGTGGTGGAATTACGCACCACTTTAATGACCGTTGTCTTCATCTTGCATCCTCTTTCTTGAAATTCGTTCTTCTTATTGCCTTCATCAGTGTTTACGCATACATGCGCTTCCGCTACAATACTTGTGTTTCTCTAAGTATTCTGCCGCCTTTAGCTTGTTCGTTAATACAATTCTTTTTTACGTTATCTGTTTAATCGTAGCCCGTAGAACACGAAAGGTAGGAGTTTTTCCTATTTTTATCTTATACACCTCAAAAACATTTGTACTTTCTTCTAGATAGAATCTTCTTGTGCCCTTTACTTAACTCAAATGCATCAGTATTCCGCATCAACTTCCAACGTGGACATTTAATCTAGTCAAATTCAGTCACTAAACGCTTTAGTATTTCGACCAAGTAAATTACCTCTTCTGCACTTAATTTAATTTATTGATTTGGATCAATGGAATCGCTCGTAAATATTCAACTTAGTTCAAGTATTTTCCTCATTGCCTTTTTTACTTTACCGTCTCGCTTCTTTGTAGCTTGTAGTTATTTATTCTTATTTGTTCCCGTTGAAGATTCTTCTGCTGCACTTCTTTGCCAATGCTACATTTTTACCCGTCTTTTGTTCATTCCTTTTTTGCAGTAGTTACCGTGGCTTGCTAGTTTCCGTAAGCTTCCACTGCTTTATACACAACACAAGGTGAGTTTCGTATTTTCCTTTGTAATCATTCACTGTATTATTTTACTAGGGTCATGTACCTGCTGTTCGAATTCATTATCACTCGTTGTCGGTCATTTTATCCCAATTTTTAAGTATTGAATTTAGCTTCTTTAGTAAAATAATTTTATGATTCTTTGCAATAAATAAGCTTAAGATATAAGGAAAGTTAAGTCAAGTGTCTATGGGGAGCTAATTCATTCACTAACACTGTAATGGAGGAAAAAAATTCAGACCTTTCTCTTCGTAGTGAACGCAATATGTTCATACGAACATTTTTCATATATTCTGTGAGCCATTTTAGTATAAGAACAGTATATTCTAAATAATAACCATTCGCCGAACATATAAAGGGATAAAAATATTATTTTGAGCGTTCAGAGAATTCAATCTTTTCTATTTCAAAATTTGTAATAAGTATTTTTATTGTACTTATAGATTTGCTCTAAAGTTTTCCTTGCATATCGTTGGTTCTTGTCACATAAGGATTCATCAGGCACATCAGCTCCCTTATTTTTAATCTCCCATAAGCAAGGTTTACGAGCAGCCATACTAAGTGTTTGTGATCGTCCCAGCCTTGCAGCACGGTCGTTGCTGAGAACGGGCTCGTGGTGCTAGAGTCTTGCCCCGACGACAGCGACAGACTCAGTGCGTCCAGCAGTCACATCGGCCTCGCTCACCGATCTCGACCCAGGAATCCCGTTTCCAGGTTCCTGCGTACCATCCGCTCGTCATATCGTAACAGAAATCGAAGTCCTTTCAGCAGCAAACAAACCATAATCATCACATGCCATAGACCTGCATCTGAAGCCCACTCTGCTGTCTGAATGCATACCTTTTTTATTTGCGTATGCACTGTCGTCTAGAATTCGGCTTTGGGCTTCTGATAAATTTGGCCTTTATAGACGTACTTACTAGAGTGAAATGATCTGCTGGATGGAGTGAGGCGATCCAGGTGTTAGAGTGAACCGATCCAGAGGCTATAGTGAACCGATCCAGTGGCTAGAGTGAACCGATCCAGTGGCTAGAGTGAACCTATCCAGTGGCTAGAGTGAAACAATCGAGGGGCTAGAGTGAACCGATCCAGTGGCTAGAGTGAAACGATCCAGTGGCTAGAGTGAACCGATCCAGTGGCTATAGTCAACCGATCCCGTGGCTAGAGTGAACCGATCCAGTGGCTATAGTGAACCGATCCAGTGGCTAGTGGGTAGAGTGAAACGATCCAGTGGCTAGAGTGAACCGATCCAGTGGCTAGAGTGAAACGATCGAGGGGCTAGAGTGAAACGATCGAGTGGCTAGATCGAGTGAACTGATCCAGTGGCTAGAGTGAAGCGATCCAGTGGCTTTAGTTCTTGAAGCATTCGAACATATTCCCCTGATAATTTTCAGTTAGCTTCAATTATATGCATCAGCAACTGCATATTAAACAAATCTTCATAGTAGAATACAACACGTTTCTGTATCAGTCGATTTATCAATATTCGTCGCTAATCTACATAATGTATTGACGAGAATAAAACAGATTTTAACGCATAATCATAATTTAATGCTATGGTGACTTTTGGTGGAATGCCCTCGTGGTCCATCAATCAAGTTCTAAGTTAGCAATAGTTTTTGTACATACGTATATATTGGCTCCTATTTTTATTCCAAGATTTTCGATACTTCTTAAAATAATTGATTATTAGCATCATTTTATGCGGTGTTTAAACGGTTAAAAGTTCTTTCTATGTAAATACAATTTTTCGTTCGTTCCATGTCTGTCAATTGTTATTTACTTACAGTTTCGCTTACCTATTTCAATCAATCTTTTATTGATGTTGATTCCTGTAGCTAATCTTTGGAACATTAAAACAGGCTATTACATCAACATTAGACGGGCTAATGACATCAAACATTATTAGACGGGTTTATGATATCAATTATTAGACAGGCTATTGACATTAGATATTGCCGAATAATGATATCAAACATTAATTATGACATCAAACATTAGGCAGGCTATACATTATCGTCAAATTATTTTTTAATGTACTTGCAGATCAATGCATACATGTGATCGTAACGCTAATCACACAAGAAAATGTTGAAGACATTTGGTGGTAGTGACACATGCAGCTTTGAACATGCGTTACTACAATACATGGTAAATTCCAATGAAGCAATAATCCGAAAAATATTGTTTCAGTTTCATTGGTTCGGTATGAGGGCAGTTTTTCTTGTATTTCTTTATTTCGGATCTTAAAAGACATACAATTGTCCTCGTGAAAATATTTTCAGCGATTATTTAGAAATTTTGTCATAGATATTCTACAACTAATGTGTTTCCCTTGAAGCCAATGTTTGACATATAATTGTCGTGAAGTGTGGCGGGTTTGCCTCTTTATCTTGTAATTAATAATACATATAATTCATAAGTCTGGTGAACGAAATGAAATCTGATGTACAGTCGAGTGTTTAATCTATTTTTCCATGTACGTGTAATAACATTAACATAATAATCGTCGTATCCCAGCGAGGTGCCGCTGTATAGCCAGATGTTAAATCAATGTGTGCCATTTAATTGTGTACTTTTATATCTCAATTAGCGTAATTCGTTGTCAAATTTACAATCTTTGCTAATTGTGGCGCAGCAAGCGTCGACTTGGACAAGAAGATATTGCTGGGTTCATCTTTGTTGAAGGTGACGTGCTGGAACAAGCACAATTTTTTATCGATATTCATGATTTAATACTGATGAAATCCGGCAGTAGCGGATTTCCGGATTTCAGTAGCGGCAGTAGCGGAAACATTCCATCTGCGACTAGTAGCATGTATATATTTTAATTTGTTAAATTCTGATCTAAGTTCCCCTTTTTCTTTGCTCAAGTTTTTGTGTTTTTGTTGAAAGAATGGCAAACGTCATTAATAAGAACATAACGTTATTGCTGCTGCTTATTTCTAGTTTGTAACTCATTATCGTAATTTTTTGTCGAACTCTTTTCGCTTTCGATTTATTAATGAATGACCATCGAGAAACGTCATCTACCGACTCTGTAAATATCCTTCTAGCGTAGAGGCTGGGTTCTATTCGTAAGTTGGCTCTCTAAAATATTTTGTAGTTATTGAATTGCATAAAATACTTTGAATTTGTTTATCTGAGCTGCATTCAGCATGTACGACTTAAAAATCTCCTTAGGTATATGTAAATGTAAGAAAATATCGCCATTTAGTTACTAACTTTTTTCTTGCGTTTGTTTAAACTTGTTCATCAAATATTCTCAATGCGTTCATCCTTAAAGTGTGTTCTCAGTTATGCAGCGCCCAAATTCTGATTACCTCAGTTCTTTTAACCCTTGAAAACGGCAAATTTTCACTACCACCTCCTATGTTCCTCATCTGTAATGCATTTTGTAATCGAGAATTTCAGAATCCTGTTCGTTGAGATTTTTAACTACTGACTTTAAAATTCATTAAATGTTCTTAGCCAGACAGACGATGTTGCAATAATTTTGGTAATTTCTAAGTGCCATGATTACGTGTAATCTAATACTCGACGCCACCGTACAGCTCATTCCTCCCCTGCAATATAATGACATTAAATTCGTAACGTTAGTACATACTCGCAGCACTGCAATTCAATTTTGCTCGTATGTAAATTGATCGAATTAAAACCCGAGTCTTCTGAACTACTAACATTAGTAATATTTTAGATCAAAATTATTATTTTCAAACATTTTGCTTCTTTTGCGCATATAAGTTTCTGCTGTGCATTACAGCTGATTAGTCGCCGGCATAAATATATTGTCTAGAATGATAGTCCGACTTTAATAGTGATGTCTTAGCCGAAGCTGGAAATAGTTTTACGTTGCCATCGTAATGTAATTAGTTGCAAGTGTTGTATTGTGTGGACTATATTGTGTGGCTGTAAATGTAGAAGTCACATTAACCTTGCATAATATTGTGTCACTATTGAGAAATATTTCAGTTTCTGCACGGCAATAAATGTTATAAATATTTCAACAAAATTAAAACTTTAACGATTTGTTCCATCAGTCAGTGAGAATTGCATGCTAGAGATCGTGATCATGAATCGAAAGTATTCTTATATTTTGTCTCCTAGTAAAACGATGGCGAGGAATTTGTTTTAAAATCAGATTTGTATTTATTGTTAATTAGTCACTCATCAAAACTAATATATTGTAGAAGAACTTTTTGCTGGCGTCAGGAACAAGAGTTCATGAGTAATTCTGTTTGTGCCAACATGTCATGATGTTGTTCATCTCTGTACTATAATATTAACGATCCCTTGTGAGATTCTAACATGTGAAAAGAACAATAAATACTCTGACGAAGTATTATCACACTGAGAGAAATGGGCAGGTCTGGATGACCCACTTTGATGAGTCAACCGCGTCCGAAAATCGATGCACTTTTTTGACTCACTTGCCCCATTTGTGGGTCATACTGACCCACTAAATTCTAGGCATGACTCACTTGTGACGTCAAATCCCTTATGACGCCACCCGTAGCATGGATACGTAGTTAGCATCTGGGCGTCAGAGCGATTTAACGCCACAAGTGAGTCATGCTTGAAAGTTAATGGGTCAGTATGACCCACAAATGGAGGCAAGTGAGTCAAAAAAGTGCATCGATTTTCGGACGCGGTTGACTCATCAAAGTGGGTCATCCAGACCCGACCGTTTCTCTCAGTGCAGATATATATTGTTGAGATATTATTATAAATATAGAGAAAATATTCCATTACACTCAAAGCTGAGTATAAAAAATTTCAATATTATAATATGTGTACCTACAGGAGAATGTGATTCAGTGTGAATGCTTAGAGCATTAACACTGTCGCCGATGTATGACTCGGCACCCACAGCGTTGTTTGAGTGTCGAGGCTTCGCATTTGCTGTTCTCAGTGTTGGACGGGAAATATTATGTGAAGAATGTTTGGTTCCAAATAAATGTATGTAAAGCAAAAAATATATTTTTATCTCGCCCTATGGGCACATTAGTTATATTCATTGAGATTTTACGATCAAATTTGCTCTTGAAATATCTATACGTAGATGTTTACATTGTTACGTGTATAAATGGCCAATATTGTTGTATACTATAACCTGAAATATGATCTAATAACCGTTACCATTCGTTTCATTCATGCCATTCAGAATTTTATTTTTATTTAAAAGGGCAATAATAAGTGTGCTATTGTACGAGAGATGTATTTTTTACCTTGTCTAACTACTCCATTGTCTTAGCACCAGTAGAGCTAAGCTAGTCCATCAGAACACATTTACTATTATGGCAACATAAAGAAGGTTTGACCCAGTTATTTCTCTATTAAAAAATTAATAACATCATCATTTTTTGAATACAAAGGCGAAAAATATTTGTTCTCTGGCACAAACTCATTATTATTCATTCAACACTTATTATCGCATTCTGTCTCTAGAGATATTAATTCATTTTCATGTAGTAGCTCCAAGTTCTGAGTTGTCTTGGCCGCGGTCGCGTTCTCTCGTAGGATGTTTGAGTCATTCACTCTTACCCACGTCTTTCTTTCAATTAGAACTCAGGGTAGACGTGGAAATTGTTGTAGTTGGCCTTGGGGACATTGCTGCCAGGTTTCTTTTCTTTTGCCAGTTAATTTCAGCGCTCACACGTTACCTTTTTTTCTACTGAGATAATCACGAATACTTAGTTAACTTTTAAACAACGTTTTAATAGCTAACAATATTCATGTAAAATTGGTTTATTGAGTCTCTCTTCCTTCGTATTGTTTATCTTCTCTTGATGATGCTAATTCCTCTTTTGTTTTGCATATGATTACACACTATGAAAAAATTAGTTTAAATGCAAAAGAGCGATGCAACATGAAGCAATTATTCCTCGTGTTTCTCGACATTTTCAGTTAAATTTAAAGTTTTCTAGTTAAATTTCAACTGTATAATATAAATTTTTACAGTTAGTGAACAGCAAAATATATGATAGGCCTATTATCTGAATGCACAATTATATTAAATCAAATCGAACGATAGAACTTATATCGAATGATATACTGATAAAATCTGTACACATCCATATTTCTTCTTATTTTAAAGCGTTCACATGACCAGTTGTTACAAGAAATTCTCCTATAACTTTTAGCGTTTTCCTTTTTGGACCACGAAAAGAACAAAGCAATTACAAATCCCATGAGGATGTTATCAACACAGAAAAAGCCTCACTATAATCGCATATATGTATATCCTCAACTTCAATATTGCAAGGATAACTGGACCAGCATGTACCAGTAGGAGTTTTCCCTTAGAACGTCTAGGAGCAAAGGTGCGGGCTCCTACACGCATTATGCGTGTGTGTGGACAATACCAAGATCCTTTGTGTGCTCGCGCCTCATTGAACGGCTCAACTTTATAAAGAGCTTGGAGAACATTCAAAACTTTTTGAAACGATTTTCAGCCGCAACAGACTCCATTTGCGCTTCCTTTGATGCTTGGGATTGTTCCGCATCATTTTGGCAGTGGTTTCAAATTTCTAACCAAGAATATTGACTTTTAAATAGCAAATTTGAAACTGCAGTTTTAGCTCTCCACAATACAGCTGCAAAGCTTCACAAAATTACAATCATATCTTAGTCTCACTTGTTAAACGAAAAAACTCTATTACAAATACTTTAAATGAGATCATTCGGGCATCTGTCACTTTTTTAGAAACAAATCAACGTGGTAACAGGCTAATTGAATCTAAATGTAGAATAAATGATGAAACTCAGTAAGCTTCCAATTTCATATTATCATCATATTATGAACGCCGGACTCGTATTCGAATCATTTTAATTAATCAAATTTGTTCATCATTTTAATCAAATTTTAATCAAACACAAATTTCCTTAGTTTTCGGCTTACAGCAATTTCGATGACTTTAATTATTGTTTCTTACAATTTATCTTCATGATTCTGGAATTTAAGAAGTAAATTATTTTAAGTAAATTTTTTATATTTCTTTTTCCGACTAACCCAAGACTTAAGCTTGATAAGATAAAGCTTCAATCTATCTTATCCTGAAAGCTCTAATTTAATTTAAAAAATCGAAATTGGAAAAAAGTACGACAAATTACATTGTAAACCGTTGAAAGTTCCTTAGCAGAAATACCAGATAATTCTAATATAACAGCAAGATCATTTTGTACATAAACATTTAAATGATCGGTTAATAAATATTAAAACGCATTTTAATTTTTAGAATGGTTTTCATTTTTGCAGTCGAGTCATTTGGTTTTTCGGGAAGAGCGGATTTTTTGATAGCGGAGTAAGGGCTAAGTGCGGAGTTAGTGACTTAGTGCGCCAAATTTGAAGATGACTTGCTCACTTGCAGATTACATTTACAGCCAGCACTCCTTCTGCTCTGCAGACTGCCAGACTTGCAGTTCTGCCTGAAAAAAGACATCATCATCTTCACATGACAAGTTGGCATTGTGAGTGCCGTGGCCCGTGGGGCTACTTGATGATCTTTCAGAGCTTAGATATATATAAGAATACATCAATACAAAGACACAGCGCTGATTACAAATTATAGCTTTTAAATAGGCTTTACTGTTTACACTTTACAGACAACAGGTACAACTGTACAAGTAGGTAGGCTAGCTACAAGCCTACAACTCAGCAACGGTACTGACTAAAACCCGGACCCGGACCGGTCCGCCGGACCCGGACCGAGTGACTAAAACCCGGACCCGGACCGGTCCGGCGGACCAGGTTCAAAAAAATAAATGGCTGCAAATCATCTGAAACGTCGAGAAAACTTTTAATTTCACATATAAAATTTTTATATTTACTTAGAAAAATTTCAAAATTTTTCCAAGTAAATTTTCGAAACTTCGATACCAACTTTTTATGTTTTCTGGACGTTTCAGAAGATTCTCTATCGATTAGTTCGATCGAGAAGTGAGCTTTTCTGTGACCCGAATATGTTGGTGCGACGAAATTTTTCTAAGTAAATATAAAAATTTTATATGTGAAATTAAAAGTTTTCTCGACGTTTCAGATGATTTGCAGCCATTTATTTTTTGAACCTGGTCCGCCGGACCGGTCCGGGTCCGGGTTTTAGTCACTCGGTCCGGGTCCGGCGGACCGGTCCGGGTCCGGGTTTTAGTCAGTACCGCAAAGTCACTCGGTCCGGGTCCGGCGGACCGGTCCGGGTCCGGGTTTTAGTCAGTACCCTCAGCAACTGGTACATCAATTGAAAGATGAAGAAATTGCAGTGCTTTAAATTAGACTAATTAGTTCTAAATCTAATGTTCTATAGTATTAAAAGCCCTGTCCTGTCCACATGCTCAAACTTATAAGTTATTGCCAGACGTCAGTCTTTCATGCCTTGCCAAAGTTTGACCCAGAGGATAGAAGAGTGATGAGAATGATGAGAGTGTCCACTGTTGACTGTCCACAGACTTCACACTATCTGAGTATTCAAACTTTCCTTCAGTATAGTGCGCTCTTGGCAATGGAGATTGGAGAACTACTGAGACAGTGAGAAGCTAGGTACCTAGTGCTGCTACTATCATACTATATTACTATCTACTATGTTGTCTATCATCAGTCTATGTACTTAACTACCTGGCAGGCTGGCAGCCTGGCACTTGCCCAGCTGGCCAGCCCTGGTACGGTGGTACCTGCTAGTGCTGCACAGTGCTGGCACTGGAAAAGTCTTATTTTTTCTGAAATATTGCAGCTCTAATATATAATTTCAGTAGGTATGAACTATGAAATCTTGTAGCTCTAATGTCATGTATTTTTGTCTGATTTAAAACATCATGGTTTCCACTTAGCAAATATGTTGTTCCATAAAATGTTCAACTTCTGCAATCTGCACTACTTGAACTGAACAATCCTGCCAAAATATCCTACACATTGGCATTGCACAACAAAACAACAAGTCAACCTATAACGTGTTCTTATAAATCGCGTAGACCGGTAGACGTAGTTGCAAACTTGCGGTCAGAGCAGTCAGACTGCATTATCGTGTGATCAATTGCCATTCAAGTGAAGACAAATGTTAGTGTTGACTGTTTGTAGGGTGAAATTAGACTTATTAGAGATTAGGAGTAACATGTGCATGGGTCACAGGACTTAGTAAAAAGTTTGAGGCTGCTGGCTTGTAAGTTGCTTTTAATGGCTGAGATATGGAATTGACGGCTTGCAGAAATTAAATCATGGCTCAAAGAAATGGAATCACAGCTGGCAAAGCCATGAAACCATGGCTCCAAAAATTCAGTCGCAGCTTGCCAAGTAGATATATCCCATGCCTGCTAGTGCACAGGCAGCTGGCACTGCCTGGCAGCAGTGGTTCCACAGCAATGGACTCAATGCTTCCCAACACAACGGGACACTCCGGGCACTCGGCGCACTCCCCACCCCAATCATCACTATGCTCCCATCATGATCATAGTCCCCAGGGTGCTGGGTGCAGAGGGTGCAAGCAGGGAGCAGCGTCACCAAGATTTGCAAGATATGGTTTTTTAGCCCAAAGCATTGCCAGCATTTTCAAGATTCGTTGCCAGGTAATTTTTAATAAGAAAGTGCTGCAAGCAACTTTGATAGGATATCCTTTACTATCCACACACCGCAACACTTACACACATTGCAACTGATTTCTGGACAAGCTTCACTGCATCCTGATCCTTCCGGCACACTGGAAACCTTACTGTGTGTGCGGTATTATTGCAGATTAACTACATCCAAAAAAAAGGGTGTTTTTTTTTTAATTATATGTTTTTTGGGGTGTAGATTACGAATCTGAAATCCAACACTGCAACGGGTAACATTTTCGTCTTCTTTGTCCATAAATCTGGAGATACATTGCCACATCGAGAGATCACAACCTAACGCCAACTCGCAGGTTGGGTTGGTTCGCCCAGGTTCCTTTTAGATCAAAATGCTATCTAAAAAAAGGAACTTGGCTGACTTAACCCAACCCAAGAGCTTTTTGTAAAATTTCGATGAACAATCCAACCCTTTATATAAAGGTGAGTGGGTAACGTAAGTTACGTAACCCCCATGTTAGTAAATAAAGGTGAGTGGGTAACGTAAGTTACGTAACCCCCATGTTAGTAAGTCGCGAAAAAAATCGGTTTTCCGATGCCGACCGCCAAAAATGGATTTCAGATTTGTAATCTACACCCCAAAAAACATATAATTAAAAAAAAACACCCTTTTTTTTTGGATGTAGTTAATCTGCAATAATACCGTGTGTGCTTGCAGTCTTTCAGATTTCCAGTAATTTTAAAGTTATTTCTCATGTGCAATAATTTCAAGCCAAATGTGTTGGCAAGATCTTCAGAAAGTGTGAATTTTGCTGCAGATGCGTTGCCAAATGTCTTTCGATATTCACCCACTTTCTGCACCCTGGCATAGTCCCATGGCTTCTCAGCTGCAGGTTTAATGTCAGTCTGTCAGGGATCACTTACAGGCAAGCGTGGAAAATGTCTACCTTTAGGGCTGCGACTAAAGCTTTCCCGCCATTTCCAGAACTACAAGGTTACCATCAGTCACCAGATGAATTGCCTCCAATTTAAATTGTTAACAAAAGTGCATGATCAGGCCACAAGATTCCAAATATATTAAAAATTTGTCACATTTGAGCTGCAAGATTTCAGAAACAAGTAGGAAAATTCTAATCCTGCTTGCAGGAATTCTGTTTTTTGCCAAACAAGAGTTTGTCCCCATTCATGATGCTGTGTTGGATCGCTCTGAGATTTGTCACCTGGTTGGCATTCTTAATTCTGACACCTCTGACCATACTTCAGCTCTTGAAGTGGTCTGGCACTGGCACTATGTTGTTTTCTCAAGCTTTCTTTCCACTTCACTTTGGCAGATATGTCCCTTTCTCTTACCTGAGCAAATCTGGCCAGTTGGGTGGCAGTTGAGAGGACATCATAGGTAACATACTTTGTGTGCATCTACCCATCAATAAATGAGGTGGGGAACAGCCAGTCACATCTAATAAGGTGGGGAGCAGAGCAGCCAGTCATGTCTAAGGAGCAAACAAGGTGTTTGCCAGAAGAGATGCAAAGGGGTTGTCCATCTGCAGAAGCCTGTTGGCCACCTGCACTGCCCTCTTTGTGCAACCATTAGCCTGAGGGCAAAAAGGACCAGAAGCAGAACATGATTGGAATTTTTCTACTTGTTTCTGAAATCTTGCAGCTCCAACGTACAAATTTTTAATACATTTGGCATCTCACAGCCCAAATGTGCACTTGTGTTAACAATTAGATAGGAGGTACGTAATTCATCTGGCAGAAATCTTGCAGTTTCGGAAATTGCGGGAAAGCTCTAGTCTTGGCCCTAAAGGTAGATGTTTCCATGCTTGATACAGACTGCATGATACAATAGCAACTTACAAATTCTTGAACAGCAGTGAAGTAAATATATCTGATGATTCTGATTGAATATGCTCTGGTATCCTATAAGTGGCAAAAACCTTGTTCAAGCCATCAACAACAGTTTCCAAGTCTGCATGATGCAAATGCACAATTTTGAACTGTCTACTGAAATGTTTTATAATGATGAGATAATTTAGATTTCTGTGATAAAACAAGTCTAACCCTATTTTTTACCATGGCAGCAACATGGCTCTAATTGCTTCTTTTGCAATTCTTTCTACAATGAATTTAACAAAATGCAAACTTCTATATGATGTTTGACAATTCATTTGCTATGATAGGCCACCAAACCAACAACTGGATCTGTGTCCACATTTATAGAGACGGAGATGACCATCGTTGTGCTTTCTCTTTAGAATTTCCTGCTGCATGAGGTCTGGGATCACAATCCTATAATCTTGAAGACCAGTAAAACCTTTATGGTGCTGAAGTCCATCCTTGCAGCATTAAAGTCTAGTAGATTTTCTTACTCTTTATGCGGCCAGCCATGCAAGGTGAAGGATTTAACTTTGAGCAGGATTGGGTCTTGAGCTTGCATCTGAAATATCAGAAAAGCATCCAATCAGAACCATGAAAATTAAAAACTGCCACTGCTGTATACATCTGTATTTCATGATCCAGATCACAGATAGTGCCACTTGTGTGTTTGCTTACATTTTGACAAAAGCATTGGTGACAACCAAAAATTTACAAGGGGATTTATTCAGCACTGGTGAGTATGGGCCTAATCTCATCAAAAAACACTGACATCTCTAAGGAGCGTCTGGCATTATTTTGCTATTTATAAGTGGGATAAGAGGCTTGTGATTGGTCTGCCATGTGAACTCAGGCCTGTTGAGACAAGAGTGAAATTTTTCACTGGCCTACATGCTAAGCATTCCTTCTCAATTTGAGCATAGTTTTGTTCAGCTGAGGCTGCCAGAGCAATATGCCACCTGTTTCCACCTTCTACCATGAGGCTACAGTAGCTCATCACCCAGGCTGTACAAGCTTGCATCTGCAAATCTTGATTATCTTAATATAAAAGTTAAATATATATGAATTATCTTAATATAAAGAAAAGGAATAATTAATATTTAAACTAGTGTAATATTTTAAAGCATTATCTTTTCATCAATATAATTTTTTAATCTTGTATTTTGCTGCAGGCTTCCAAAATGGCTCCCATGGTGGTTGAGACTGATGAAATAATTCCTGCTGCAGGAAATGAAACTAACATAGTTATACAAGCCATTAAAAATGAAGATGAAAAGATTAAATCATTGAAAGAACTCATTGAAAAAGAGAAAAACAGATTAGCTGCTCTCAATAGACTAGTGCAGTTACACCAAGGAACCCTGGCAGCTAACTCCACTAGTAATGTGTAAGCATAATGAAGTCTGCAGGTTTGTTTAAGTAGATTTTAATTCTGTAAAAGTATATGATAAATGTACTTTTTGATGAAAATTCAGCTGAATAGTCAATCCAGTTGTAAGTAAAATTGTTTAAGTATCAATTATTGGTTTTTAGTTAGAAAGAGCAAATATATTTTGTGTCAGTTGTTTTAGGGGTTTTTGAGTATCAACAAATATTAGTGGTTACATATGCTAAATGTTAATCAATGTGCAAATTGTAATCACGGATGTTTCAGCACCTTTTATTGGTAGTTGTAAACATGAATGTAGAAGTTTGTAGCAGTAGCAACTCACCATCAGCTCAGATAACTTGCACGAAATTGAGTGTTGAGGTGGTCCAAAACGACAAATGTAAATCTGATTTAGGTCGTGTATAAATTTGAGTTTTGTTTGATGTCCACAAAAAATTACATTAATATACATAAAAATTATTCACTATTCTTTGTGTTTGCACTGTGTACTAGTTTCAGAAATGATCATTTATTAATTCCATTAATGTTTCTTAATCTCCACTCTTAAAACTTTGCCCTGCTGCTCATGTGATGTATTAGTGGCCAGCTAGCAAACTAGTTTCTCATGACATTATATCTTGACATCGAATTGCCTGCATGATATCGCTCTGACTTAAATCATGTTAATTAAGGTGAAATGTGGGCTGTGGCCCATTCAAACAATTTAAAAATTTTAAAAATTCTTTAGAGCAAATTCCTTCTTTCATGTAAATCTAGATGTAGAATTTAGAATGACATGAAAAAAGACAATACTTCTATTCTTTGGATAAAATGGTTGTTGTGCTTCAAATGTAATTATTATATTGGTACCATTTGAGATCTGCAATAATATTGTACTATTGGATTGTCCTTATCATCAATATTCTTTACTACTTACTACTACAATCTAAAATTATGATAATTGTAAGAAATTTTCATTATTATTATAAGATTTTAATTTACTGTATTGAAACTTCAATTCAACTCTATTCTCATTTTCTATTATTGTTCCACCACTAAGAATTATATGTACCCAATGATATTAAGACACAAAAGTTATTTTGGATATGCCTTTGAATAACCCATGTTTATTTACATAGGCGGTTATCTAACACAACAAGCTAGCTTTCTATATTATGATGTATCAACATCTTGTACAAAAATATTTTGCAGTCCTGCAGATAAGATCTTGTGGCTGGGTTCCGTGCCCAGCGTGGAGTCAGTTGATGCCTTAACTCAGCTACTTGAAAATGACCTCTCCATGACCACCCATTTCTCAGGATACTCTATCAACAATTGCAGAGGTCAGTCACAATCTTATATACAATATTATTAGATTCAAATATACAACATTCAATTCATCTAATATTCTTCATCTTCTGACAAAAGTATTTGTAGAACCAGTTGAATGATCTTTGTCTATGTATCTTACTCAGATTATTGACTTTAATGTCCCATCCATGCATCTTTTTACATTTTTGGTACCAATTGAGATTAAATTGATATTATGTCTTGATTTGCTCGTATTCTTTACAAATAAGCAGTTCTACACTTGAATGCAACTGAAGACATCATCCACAAGCTGTATGAGGTCACACTCAAAGTAGCAAGCTTCACAGTAGAGATAACATTTGAGTCAAACTTACAGGTGAGCAATGTGTATTTTTTCCTTATTCATTTCCAATCCCAAGGTTGAATGCTATTTCTTATAACATACTTGCCAATAAGCAAAATTAAAATTATTTATTTGATCTTGATTTTTTATCATTATCATTTTTATTTATTTATTACTATTATTATTTTTTTGAGGTTATAATGATGAAGGCTATTTTTAAATCTGCCTAAATGAAAGTCTCATCTTTACATTAGCTAGTATTAACTCAGTTTGGGATGTTTTGTTAAAATCATTAATTAAATTCCAGGAGCCTTTTATTAGAGACTAACATAACTATCGCCATGACAATAAAAGTAATAAAAATTAGGAGTGTGCTCATACATTAGCTGTAAGAATGATTTATTTGTTCAATGGTGAAGATCTGATCATTTAGAAACAGCTTCGATAAAATCTAATGTTCAATTTATTAATAAGAGTTTCATTAAAGAGAGAGGAGATGTTTTGTTAAATGTACATTATGCATATATATTCTTATTATGATATGCCAATGTTTCCTATGGCCTTATGAGTTCAAATTTTGACTTTTTCTCCATTCTTTCAGTAGTTATGACTTATCTACCTAAGATAAATTCCTACTATTAACCGCGTTGCGCTTGCAGGTCACAACTGGCATTGAGAAAGTGTCTGCTGTGCAGAAGCTATCGTTTCTTCCAGCTCTTCCTGAGTTGGCTGCATTCCAGCATCACGTCACTGAATCGTGCTGCATTTACCTCATTCCTAGAGGCCTGCACACTCTCCTAGTAAATTAAATTCATCGCTGATTTAGGATCATGTACAAATCATCCTATAGGTCAATTTGAATGCTAGCATATAATCACTTCACTTTACATGTGTATGAATCATATTTGCTTGCGGCCATTCTTTTTTTTATTGCAACACTTTTCTTTAACTTCACTTATTGTTGTTTGTTTGTTTGTTTGTCTGCTACAAATCTTATAATCTATATTTAATACTTCTACCAGTCCAATCAATCTGATATTTTGCACACTTGCGTAGTCGGAGACAATACATTAATCAATTGACAGAATAAATAATTTGGAAAAAAAATTTAATATTTGAAAATAAAATTAGAAATTTATTGTATATGCGTAACATCGGAGACGCTGGCATCTACAGAAGTGTTGTTTTTAAAATGTAATTTTTAAATGCATATTATTCATGTTATGGTTTCAGTAGTGCTCAATCTGCATTTGTCATAGTGTCATCATTTTCACAGTGACTCCTGAAATTATTGCAGTCCTTCCTTCCTCACTGAGGTCCTTCTTCCTTGAATCGTTTGCAGAAATTAGAGAGCGCCCAGCAAGAGGTTGTTGACTGGTCTCGGGACCAAATTAACATTGAAGTAGCTACATCGGCTCGTCTAAGCCTGGTACTGAATTATGTGCCTTTTGGTAAGAACACTTCCGGGACTCCAAAGATTTTGACACCACAGAAATCTCCCGTCAAATACACTGCTAAGAAAACTCCTCCGGGTAAAGAAAATCGCCGAACTCCGACTGCGGTGAAACAAGAGCTGTCCTTGAAGCAAAAAACATCAGGTAACATCACCGCTGACGATGCCTGTGTCACTCTCAGATGGACCGTTGCCTACAGTCGGGACTTGAGGAATTTCAGGCATCGGTTTGGTCTTCACGCTCCTCAGGCAGGTATGTACAAGTTTGAAGTTCTAAGATGATTGTTATGGGTACGAGTAAATTGTCTGCATATGAGGCTATAAAAACGGTTTCTGTCCACATTGAACAAGAATTTTTTTCACACAAATATATACTCCAATCCAACATAGGCGAACACTATAAATAGTGTTCAAGTATAAATATATAACATATGAATCTGTACAAAATTTATATAAATATACTCTAGACCGAGATAGGAGTTATGAACTGCGGTTGTTATTTTTTCCTAAAGAATAACTGGATCAAATATCCACGTTTTAAAATGTTGGTAAATGTCCTATTGATTTAATGACATTCATTTGGCTGATCATTTTCAGTGCAGGAACGCTACTCGCAGAATAATGCCATCCTGCCGCTGCTGAGAGGCGAGCAAGACATCAGATCTGCCAGCGACGTCATCAAACTGTTCTCCACTCTTTCCCACTAACTATTCGCATTCTCCCACTGACCCTCTACACTGTCCCACTGACTCCACTCCACACTCTCCCACTGATTCCATTAAGCACTCTTCGTCTGACTCCACTTCACGCTCAAGGAAGAAACTTCAACTCCAATGCCCGTCATTTAGGTGCGAGAACTGATCTGTACGAGGAAAATAAAATCTGACGTGGTTATAATGTTACTTTTACATCTCACAAACGAAGACTTAAGGGATCTAGATGTTAAACAGTAGGTAGAAAACGGCAGCTTCAGAAACCCTCTGTGACATAATGATAATCTGTATGCGCTTGAAATTTACAGCTGAATAAACGTATATACTATCTTAATTTAACAGACGCTGTAAAGCGATTGATAGTCTGGTGGCGACTTCTCATATTGAAAAATATCGTCATCGCCTAATAAAACAAACATCAACTGAGAAGAAAATTTAGTATTAGAAAATCGTATGCTCCAAGAATATTTCAATAGTCATCACGCATAGGCATGAGGAATTTTGCGAGGCATTCCAACTTTTACACTGCTTAAGAGGGCCATTTCGGGCAAAAATCTAAAATTGTGGTTTTTCCGGTTTTTAGTATCATTTTAAAGGTCCAAAAGATGAGCATATTAAGAGCCCAAAACCACTTTTGTGCGTCAATTTGTTCGTTCACGACAGCCGTCGAAGTACAAGTATAACTTATATCTTCAATGATGACAAATTTCAGTTTTTCGACTCTCCTGAAAAATTTAGGTTTAGCACCTTAGAAACCTATCTCCTCCTATGCTTTCCAAGCTACAGCAGCAATGAAAGATATATCATTCGATTTGTAAGAAGAATCTCTAGCCATCCGATCATTTTTTTTCAATTTCAATATAGTTTGGATTATATACTGGAAAAAGGGGGTTAGGATAGGGGGAAATTTGCAATTTTGGAAAATCCCTCCTCCCTCCCGAACAAATTCGAAATTCAAAAAAATGGTCGGATGAATTTTACATATGTTCGTTACAAATCGAATGTCTCTCGATGTCTACATGTTTAATGATTGAGGAGATAGATTTCTACAGACAGTACCCCCTTTTTTAGCCGTTTCCTATCAATTTCTTTCATTTTTTTTCGAGAAATTCACACGAACAAAAAAGTCATCGATTTCTGTTTTACATATGTGAACCAAGTTTCAAAACGATCCGTCCGTAAATACAAATTTTTTTTTTTACCAAAACGGTCCCCTTACCTGAAGACCTGTGCTTTTATTCGGACTTAACAAGACGCAATTCAAATGGAAAGAAAAATTACATCAAATGGACACAGGCTGCATAGAACAGAACTCAAAACACCAAGAATAAGTGACTAATTAAATGATGCCTTTCCTAATTCTAAGATTATCTTGGAAAAAAACAGTTTCTTCTTCTTGACAGATTACACACAAAATTCTTCATTCGATGCAAGATGCTGATGGCTTGTTTGTAGAAACACTACGCATGTATATGTTAAGAACACTTACGTTTGAACACCATATAGAATATTACAACACCAGTATACATGCTTTTATAGAAGGCCTGAATTTATACTTCATTATTAAATTACACTTGCAACATTATTAAAAAAATATATATACATATATTATATATAGAAGGCAACGCGTAGGTAACACTAAAATATGAAGACAAAATAGTACAATCAAAATAAGAAATTGCTACACCGTAGTCCATGCATAAAAAAATATGTCAATTATCTAAGTTGCATGGGATTCTACTGATAATCACGAAGCATTGTTTTCATAAGCCTTAAAATGCTTCCTAAGAATGCAAGGGACACTCACTGATAACATCCTAAACTGGAGAGTTCTATATCAATCAAGAACTGTTCTCATAAACCATATCTCACATTTTCAGTTGCTGGTATTATAGAAAAGAAAATGATACGGTAACTCTTACCGTTGTACAATGTCTAAGGAATAATGTGACGATGATCACATACAATGATACAAATTAAGGTCATGAGCACCACAGAAGCCACGCAAAGAAAAATTAACAATTAATAAAGCTTCCATTACAAAGTAGATTGTAGTCATTGTACTTAATAGTGTCATTGGACCTAGTCATAAAATCAGAAAGGGTTTCTACATCACGCAAGTAAATTATAGACTATTATGGAGAAAATCTTGGGGGCAAATAAGGCATGTTACTACAATAAATATTAGGCAACAGTAATTAGAAACCGTTTAGAAAAACACATCACAACAAAAAATGAACTACTGAGCAATACGAAAATCATTTCTAGACGCGGATCTATTAAATAAGAATTACCTTATTGTCATACTCTAACTGACAAAAATAACTTTGATCTATCAAAGGCTGTATTTGCTTTCTCCTAGCCTATGTTAACATAGAAGGAATATATACCATCATTAGTTATATAACGTACATCTTTAATGACACGAAAATATTCTCATGAAATCGATAATCGCTGTTAACCCGTTACAAACCAACTTTAGCACAAGGAAAATGACTTCATTACAAATATTTTAGAATACAAACTAAATATTTCATTAATGATATAGAATTCTACAAATTTCACTAAACTGTCTTGCCTCAGGCAGCAGTAGTGTGCACAATTAGTTACGAGCACCTACTATATAGATACATTTTTTATACTCCACATATAACTCGTAGTAATGTCATTGAAATTAAAATAATAATAGCATATGTTATTTGGACTTTAGTTAAGCTCTCTTACACCATCTCCATTATCCTTAAGCTATTAACTTTGGTGCATCAGTAACTTAATCTTAAAAATATTTTTCATTGCTTCAATCGACGTTATGTTGATAATGTTGGCACAGCTAAGATAAATGCTCAATAGTTCTTGGGATAAAAATGGTTGTTGTGCTTCAAATGTAATTACATTAATACCATTTGAGATCTGTAATTTTATCTATCGTAGGGGATTGTCCTTATCACCAATCGTTTTTACAACTAACTACTACAATCTAAAATAGAAACTTGTTACACAGAGCAAACCAACATGACCCTGACAATGATACAGCACCAACATTGGGTTCCTAGATAGGTACACCAAAACGTTCGGGGCGTCGTCCAGTCTACAATAACGGAAAAGACCTCATGTCCACAATACAGTAAGTGTCAATAGCTCCTCAGTAATGTAATGTCTTCATTTTACAATACAGCGCTTTTTATATAGTTACCATAATTTTGGCAACTACGCAACCTTGGCTATGCTGGTGGATCAAATAACGGCTGCACAGAAATGAAAATTTTTAAATAAAATAGCTTAACTAATGTGTTCATTGAATGAGGGACTCATTTTAATCCATAAAAAGAAAAACCCCACCAACAGTTATAAATGTTGGACATCAATAATGTCTTAGTTTCTGATATTTTTGGGGAAGAATTTACAAGGAATAAATATGAACATTATTAATTCTCAATCTTAGCAGGCAAAAAAAAATGCAATTTCAAAGACATTTAGAAAGATATTTAACTTAGAGGATTGATGTAAATGAATTTAAGAAGCTAACGTGAATATTAAGCAAAGTATATCAGGAAGAAATCATGTATTAACTCGATTAACAAATCTCAAAATAGAGTGAAAACGTTTCAACCAAAATAAGTATAAAATCCTGCTCCTTTGTTATGTGAGAAACATAATGGAAGAAAATTCCAAAAAATGGTAAACAATTGTTCCAGGGCTCTTTCACTTCAATATTTTTCTCAATAGATAGCCATTTTTCACATAATTCAATATGAAAGATTAAATTATAGCATTTTCTTTACTGTTCACTTTACAGTGCATTGAGTTCAAATGAGAAAACATTTCAAGGCGGATGATCTTTGATTGATATTGAACGTGGTCATAGTTGCCGTCTTAAAAACAGCTGTGACTCCCTCCTTGGTCTTGGCAAAACACTCAAGATATGCGTAGGCATTGATTGTCTTGGCAACAGCATGACCTTCTTCAGTCTTCACTGGTTCTTGCTTCATCTTTTGCAATTCTTTTATTGTGTTTGTATCAGTGCGCAACTCCTGAAAAATGAATAGATGTTAGATTTAAATACATTTTCTAAATTAATTCCATTCAAAAAGTGATTGTATTCTACACAGTTGGTGCTTGCTGTAGGTATACAAAAATGCTGCTCTCATTTAGAAAGATACTAGTTTAGCTGTTGGCTGCCTATGGTCAAAATTTTGTCATTTTGACAAAAATACATAGTAAACAGAATCAAGTAGTCATTTTATCCTAATTTTAGACAAATGATTATGGACCTTTTTTCTTTTCTTTTTAGCGCATTTTCTCATTTATGGAAAAAATGCACTATTGTGCTCGCCATGTCCGTCTGTCCGTCCGTGACCTCAAGTTTTCGTTGATGAGAAAATGTGCTCTCTGTCACTCACTGCAGTGAGTACTGAGTTATATTTTTTTTATAAGCCACCATGTACCAACTTGTACAATGCAATAGTCTACTCAAATCATAAAAGTTGTAGAATATCCATAGTCCTTGAATGGCATAATCCAGAAGTATTGCACTTTTTTGTATTACAAGGAACTTGCCTAAAATTCAGAACCTCTTAAGCAGATTATAGTTTACTCTTTGGCAGTAATTTGGAGCTATTGAGCCCAATTTAATAATATACATCTGTTTTCTCCTACATGCCTGCCAATACTCATGAGAACTTTATTATTCTGCAAATGACAAACCTTTTTATTCCCAATAAGATTTATAGGAACTTTAGGACAAAATTACCTGACTTCAGGCAACCACTTTCCATTATATTATCAAGAGAGTCTGGAGAATCAATGGAGAAACACACAAGGATAACATGAGTGTCAGGTTAGGAGAGAGGTTGCAGTCTGTCATAATCTTCCTGTCCCGCTGTGTCCCACAAAGCCAACTCAACCTGTGAAAGGTTGGAAAAAAATATCATGGAAGAAAATTTTTATTATATACTAACAGAAAGTCCACATGCCAACTTTGAGAGCACTGAGAGAATGACAGATTAGCTGCATCATGCATAAAATGGTGAGCACTTTTGGTGAGCAACACTTTTGCTAAAACTATCAATTTACAGTCTAAATCAGTGATATCAAATGTCCATTCTATATCAATAAAATTTAGCATTTGCACAAATTATAAGCAGGTATATTTCTTCAGCTGCATAGATAAGAAGTGTTTACAAAAATGGGAGTTAAAGATCATCTATTTCAATTTGTTAACTCACCTGCTGCCATGAACTTCAATGTCAGCAACATAGTTTTCAAAGACTGTGGAAACATATAATTCTGAAAACTGGTCCCTTGTGAAAACAATGAACAAACATGTCTTGCCACATGCACCATCTCCTGCGATAACCAATTTTTTCTGATGCCAGCCATGGTATTAGCTCTGTACTATAACTAATTATGCAAAACAGTACTTATTAAAAAGCATTCAACATCAAACAAAATATGAAAGTTAATCATGTTAATGGCATTTGGCAATATATATAATCAAAATAAAATAATGGCCTACTTATTCAAATTCAACACAAAGAGTCTTAAGAAAATACAAGGCCAAATGTTCCCAGAACATGGTACCAAGCTGCTGGAAACTCTTTAGTAAGGCTTTAATAATGGAAAAATCAAGCTGTTACATCATAACCAATTGGAGACAGACTAATTTTGTGATTTGTATATTGATTCTAACATTTTAGACCATGCCTATACTAAATTTTTTCAATATTTTTTGTCACTTCGATGCCCATCACACAAAATTTTATATTTTTAATTACTCTCTCAATTTAATGTTTTCAAAAAAAGTTTGCAATTAAAAAGTCTCTTCTTGGTCTTGGCCCAGGCCCACTATGAAAAAATCCCATGCTTGTGGACAATTTCAACTATTTCTATGACCTTTGCACAGGCACTGTGAGGCACAGAATTATAAATGAAAATTACCCATAAAACCATCTTTTTGCCTACAATATTTGAAAAATTCTGCCTGTTATTCAGACTAACATCCACAAACCACAATATTTCCAATGGAGCCATAATACATGACTTGGGAGCAATGAGATTTCATCCCCACTTGAATTACTAATCATAAATGATGTGATATTGAAGGGAAGCTACAATATTTCAGGTGAAGTTGTATTCTTCTATGCTTCACCATTAGCATTAGGGCTTCTAAATTTGGAAAATTAGGGTAAACGCGGTATATTCCGTCACATTAAGGACGCATCGAGAAATGAAAAACTATAAAAAAATAACCGTATGCGTTACTCAAGTTCTGTTTGCTCTAGGTGACTCTCAAAACACCGTAGTATGCGTCGGCAACAATGAAACGTCACAAAATGTTGCCATATTTATGTAAAAGCTCTTAGAATGCAAACCTACCAAATCCCTATATTCCGTCACTGTGTGTGGCAATATTCGCCACGTGGTGAGGCATATTCCGTCCGCGCTTCAAATTCTAGTATTCTACTGATACGTAATGCCATCATCCACGTGTTCGAATTCCGTTCGCTGTGTGAGCTGTATTGGAATACAACACAGCTTTGAATTAGAACACTAATGAATATTGAACACTACTTAATTACGCTTTTAATTAACAACTATTAAGCTTTTAATTAAGCAAATTTTAATTTTTGTACATAGCTTGTAACGATCTGTGTGTGTCCAATTCAAGTTGTGATGGAATTAGTTTTCATGTGTCTAAATCCATTTCTTAACTTAATCATCTATTAATTTATTTACCACTTGAAATCAGCGAATACAAGTATACTTAAAGGATTCCTAATATATTCACAGACGTATTTAAAAGCCTCAAACCATAATATTCTTTCTATACAAACAGTTATTCACTATTTGGTAGAGCAAGGTCAACTGTCAAATTTGACACATTTTTTGATGATCTCAGTATCATCTCACTGGGTAGCGTGCATTGTCTCTCTTTGGATCTCAATATTTTCCCACTAGATGGCCAAGACCTAGTGTTTTGGCATTAGTTCGACGCGCAAATGTATGACGTCACCATTTCAACCATCAACAAACGCATGGAACTAAAACAAAGCTTAATATAAAGGAAAAACTAGAGAGGTGACAGAATTACCTACGATGACAGAATATACCGCGTTTACCCTACCAAAGTATATACCGTATGTGCACAAAAAAAATTTTCCTCTGATCTTAATGAAAATTGTACAGCTAAAAAGAGATAAAATTTTAAAAAGTACATATAAATATAAGTGCCAAAGTGGAATACAAGTAAAAGTGAAAAAGCTATGAATTTTTTTTTATTAAATTTGGTCTCCAAAATGGACCCATTTTTGAAAAACTATCACTTCTAGCCTCTAGGTTCCCTATGAGTATGACTATGAGCCAATTTAAAAGATTTTAGTACCATTACTGGCATTCAAAAGCTCTTGTTGTAGGCTATCTAGGGCTCTAGCGGGTCTAGCCTATGCCCTAGGACTAGGTAGGCCTATTCTAACTGGAATAAAAACATTTTGGTTGAGTCTTTGGCTGCATGTGGGTGGGGGATATGGGTGTGGCGTGTGGGTGTGATGTGAATGATAGGTAGATATAAATGGTATAAATTGGCAAAATTTAGGTACCTAACCATTCTAAAAGGCAGAAATGAAAAGAATAGTAAATTACAGTTTGATAAGTAGGCTAAATTATAAATAAATGACATATGAAAGATAAAATGACAAATTCAGACTGCTTGGCTTCGAATCTCCGACTGTCCGACAAACGGAAGTTTGGAACAGCCTCCCCGAGTCCCTGATAGGCTGATAGCATCGTTGACGCTCCGACTCAGTCTCCAAGTATGAACGGCTGAACGCCTTCAAGCTTCAACTTTCAAGAACAGCTACCTACGGTAGATGTCTAGATGAAGCTATGCAGGACTGCAGGAGCATATGTTCAGAGTCTTCAGACAGTTCAGTCTAGAAATGCTTAGCAACTTACGGACCAGGCAAAATGCCAGCAGCTATCTCAAACAACGTCAGTTATGGAAAGATCGTGTTTAGAAGGCCAGATCCATTGTGGAATCAGGTCACGAAAAGTCGAAGAATCGGCAACAGGCCATGCACCGCCACCAAAAATCATGGCCGCCGCGTATTTCTTCAGTGCCAATTCTATTCCAAAGTAGACTGGCAAACCTCCGAGGGAGAAAGCCAGTCGTGTTAATAAATAATCAAACTTGAGATAATTATTATTCTAAGTAAATGCAAATGCTAATCCTTCGAAAATAAATTCACCCGTTTTTAGAGGGCTTATACGACAGACATACTTTCGCTGTGAACGCAACGGACTTTCTTCATTTTGCGGATTATTAGTATCTCTGCTAATACTGTGAGAGCATGGTTGAACATCATGATTCAAGACAAAGCGGTTAAAAGTCTGAATTATTCAACTTTGCTTATTTTTGAGCTCATTAAATGATTTTTTGATTTAGTAAATCTAGAGGCAAACGATATTTCCAGAATCCAGATACCGCAAAGGATTTCTAAAAAATTATTTGTAATGTAATAAAAATTAGGAAATTGATTGTTCTTTATATTTTAATTGTCACTATTTTCGAATGTCAAAATTATCGGCGCAAACAATATTACGGCTTTTTGAGCGCTCATATTAAGTTATTTGAGATTTTTTCACGTGTACAGCCTTAAATGTAGTGCACACATGATGCACGTTGATAACAACTCCGTTGTGCTTAGATTTTCTGAGGAACATCAGCGGATTCTCCTGGGTGTTGAGGGTCCCAACTCCTTGCTGCATTGATAAGCATGAAGAACACGTTCAGACTTCAGTTCTTCGTGAGCCAGCGCTGCGTAAGGTGGATGCTACTGCTCGGCAGCGTATCGGATAACGCACGGTTTTCCAGAAACTTTCTCTATCCCATGCAAACCTGAAATTTTACGTAGAAGGGAATAAAATAAGCTAAATAATATTGGATAGCATATATGAGTCTCCTTATATAACAAACTAAAGTGATTGGCGTCAGATTTGCATTATTTGATTCTTCCAAACAATATCTCGTGCATGAATTAAATTGTTAAAACTCGCGTGTGACCAAAACTGATTCCCATCAAGCTCCATTCTTCAACTCCATGAGCAGCAAAAATATGGGCGTGAAATGTGTCTTGTCAGTTGCGTCGTTGTTGCTGCTTCACGTGACATCTCAGTGCAGGGGACAGTCACTCAGCAGAGTCATCAAGCCTGGAGACCAGAGCGCCGTGAGTATTCGAAAAGTTTTTATTTTTATATGAACTGAAACATGAAAATAATATCTTGAACACTTGCATCAACGAGGGATTGAAATTTTCCTGGATTTGTTAACTTTGATCAATTTGATGAAGACGTACCGTACCTGTTAAACACGTCTCAATTGACCTATTGTCAGTTATCGCACTGTTATGACGCAAGCTTTAACAAATGCGCTTCGTTTGTTTTCATGCGATAACATAAATTACTGTAAAATTGGGCAATAATATATAAATCTCTCAACATCTGTCGTCATTTGGCTGGACACCTTTACCTGATTTGCAGTCATATAAAAAATTCAAACAGTCAATTAAAGTAAAAGTCATATTATTTAAACGAGAATGAGCACTTGGCACATCGTAAAAGAGCATTCCTGGGTAAATGTTCACAATAGCAAATAAAACCCCTATGCCAGGGCTGTGCGCATTAATTTCCTTTGGCTTGCATTGGCAGAACATAGTTTTGTTAACAGCAAAATCTTCAAAATATTTTTTTATTCAGATCGTACTGGTGTGATTCACCATGAATTTCTGTGAGACGGAACACTGTGTGCATGATTATATATCAACCTTCTTATATTGTGATGATTATTGTTGTTTCGTTGAGAAAATGACGTGTCATCTATGTTTTCAAAGTTTCGAGGATGAATAAATGGAGCTCGTTTTAGTGCTGTATCTAGGCGATTTTTTTGGGGGGGGGGGGGGTTCGATACTATCTCTGAATTTGCCACCTATACCAGAATTATTTTATTAATGATTTAGTATCACTATTGATTTTCAGCATGCCTCATGTAGATCAAATCAATTTTTCTTTAAGAACCCGTCAATAGTTTTATGGGATATAAATATTGAAATCGCGTGATTGCTTTCATCGCAAATCTATCAAGGATTTAAAAGAAATCAAAGAAAATAGCCAAAAAATTCACCATTTCTTATGACAGAAAACATTTCGGAGTCCAGCTCCATCGTCAGTTGTAAACCCTAGAACATAATTACAAACAACAAGGAAAATAAAATTCACACTGATGATATCAAAACCTAAATCGTCAAGTGGGAGCCTATAAAAATTAAGTTTACATGAGCAGACAAACTTATCTACTCACAATTTCCTGGGAATAGGAATTGTAAGCGACATTTAAACTTGGTTTCTGTTTAAAAATATACCGGGATTTTAAAATTTTAAACAGAAGCCAAGTAAATGCCGCCTACAGTTCCTATCACTTTAAAATTGTAAATAGATAGGTTTGTCTTCTCGTTTTTACCTCATTCTTATTTGTTTTCATTTGACAATTTAAGTTTTATCATCTCCAATGTGAATTTTAGTTTTCTTATTGTTTGTGCATATGTTCTAATTAAGTTACGTTCTAAGCCGTTCTAAGTTCTAAGCCGGACTGGAGGTACGTTTCAGAAACAAGAAAGAAGTTTTCTAAACCGTTTTCTCTCATAGGTAATGGTGAATTTTTTGTTGTTTTCTTTGCTTTTAAATTCTTGCTTATAATTTGATATCAAATTTGCATACCTCTCAATGAATCGTAATCCTCTTGTTAAAGTATTTCTATTGGAGAGAAACTGGATACTTTAACCGGGTATACGGTATACGAGACACTGTAATGACGGATATCAACGTCAACCACGGTACGCTTTAATGCAAATAGTTTCACGAGTGCTGGAAAGGAAGATGAGTATCGAACAACGTGTACACCCGTTTTGCTTGACCTAGCTGCTCACATGTGTGCGCTCAGTTTTCGACCGCGACAGTTACAAACGCACTTCTCAAAAATGCGCATCCCGTTGCCTCGGCGCGTATGGCCAAGCTGTAACCAGCCACGGCGCCTTACAGTCTAAACCTCTTCACATCAATGACGACAAATTTGTGCCTCACTGTTGTCTAGTTCCTTTCAGAAAAACGATCGTTTTTCTGATTTAGCTGTTATTGTGATGTAAAACGTATCGAAGAGAATAAATTTCCTTCCCGAATAAATAAAGTATGTCACGTATGAACTAAAAATGTGAACGTCAGAAACATCACTTGTTTTTTTACGCTCTGATGATATTTACATTAAATGAGCGTATAAACACATACCTAATTTTTATAAAAAATTTCTGGCTTTTTTCCTGTTTTTACTGATCATGAATTGTATTATATTACCCTTCCCTGTTCGACCATTTCGCTGTATCCTACCAGAATTACGCGCATCGGTCTTAACCTAGGCAAATAACTGCCAACTCTTTAATTGGATGTGTTTTTCAAATTCTGCTCGCATACAGTTATTTGGCCGTGTATATTAAATGTATCATTGCAGAATGAATTGGAATGGTTGTGATGGGCTGATCAGGTGTATATCCAAGATGCTTATATTGCCGGGAGATTAAATGGGAATTTTATTTTTAGGATTGGTAGAATCCATTGACATTGAGACGTGGAGGTGAAACTTGAATATAAAAATTGAAAGGGATTTACACTTTGGTAAGTGGAAAATTTCTTTAGAAATAAAAAAGTTCACGTTTCCTTTATATTTCAAACTTTACTTTGGTGGGAGTTCCGTGCTGAATGTGGGTTGGAGAGGGTTGCTCATCTATTATTGTTGTTTGATATTAAAATTATCAACCGGATTCGGGATGATTAGGTTTGTGATAACCAAATTCGGGATTTGGAATAACGGGATTTTCATATCGCAAAGATTATATCCCGAGGCCACGCGGGGCTAACCTATTTTTTAAATTTAAAATTATGTTTAATTTTAGTAATCTAGCATCGCATTTAACATCGCATTTAACAAACTCAGCTGTTCCATAGAGACATGGAACGTTCATCAGTGATAGAAACTAAAGTAAGATCGGGCAATCCTTCATGTTCCGCCGTGTAATCAATTGCTCCGTAATTCAATCCTAGACATCTCATGTGGGAAAAGAACCTCGAAAGGCACACACATCCCGAATAAAAGAACGAATTTAATTAAAGACAATCCTCTGCGTTCCTAAATGCAATAAATTTTATTCCGATGGGAATGCTATTAGCTGGGGACTCCATAAATCTGACATCCGTATACCTGTGGTCATTTTCCTCCATCGGAGACGCAACGAACTCTCTCCCAGGGGGCTCAGCGATTGTTTGGTTCTGTCTGCCTAAACTTAAACTGAAAGGGTGGGCGGCAAGCTAAGCATTTATCAGCATCATGTGTGAGGGAATTCCGTTTGTTCAGACTTTGATATTTTTTAATTACATAAAAAATGACTCATTGGTATATATGTACCAAATTAGCTGTATGCAGCTCATTCTCATTCCTAGCTGAACTTAGTTTTTTTTTCTCTTTGATTTCTCTTAAATAAATTATTTTTTGGCACCATCACTACGGTCAGACTAAAAATGTACCGAAAGTTTTTCTCGAACGATGAATTTGTTATAAATAGAATTTCTTGCTGAAAGTTGAGTTGTGAATGAAATATATGTGAAAAAAGACTGCGAAAGGCTGGTTAGGATAAACAATATACTCCGGAAGCTAACTGCTTACCAGTTTAACTGTGACCGCAGGACAGTAAATTATTTTAACTTTTGTTTCCACACTGGAGAAACCAAGCGTCGTGAGATCATGGCTGTCGTGCGAGGTTTGCGCAGAGACGCCGCGTTGTTGGGAACCGATGCTCTTTTGTTCCCAGGCCTGTTTCGCGCAACTATGTTCAAATTATGTATTTTTTAAATAAAAAAATTCTAAGATTGTTTTGTAAACGTCTGCATGATGTACAAGTAGTCTATTCGCAATGCGCAGCTCCAATCTGAGCCCATAAATAAATTATTTCCAGCCTAGTGAAAATTAAAGTACAAGAAGAAATATACAGATCATTTCTCGAAGTTCTCTGCTAGCTGTTAATAGCTTGGTGGCGTTTCCTTATCGCAATGTTTCTATTTATAATATAACGTGTATTAAATCAAGTATATCATATCCGAATTTAGTGACGTAATTTCAAAATAGTGAAAATAAACAAAATTTAATACATACTCAAAGACAACGTTTATTACAACTCTAATTTATTTGCCACCATTCGTTTCACTTTTCCGCCAGCTGTCGAATTCACGCATCGTGTGATTTCAAATAGTTACACAGATTTTCACTCTTCGTATAACACTCCGCAAACTGTTTCAATGAAATACAGAAAATAAGATATATCGAAAAACTGGAGCTACAATAACACGTAGTCTGTCACGGTTTCAAAGGAAATATTCTAAGGTCGTACGTTATAGTTCCTCGCCTTTCTGCAGTCGCGCCATTCGCGAACCATGAATGGCAACCACGTGTAGTTTGATCCACCCACGGCCTGTCTACTTCTACTTCCGGATATGAAAATCTCAGTAATTTGTACTAAAAATGTCTTTTTAAAATGCTGATAATCATAAATAATTTCAATGTTTCTGGAACCAAATATCTTTAAACAATTTTGTGCAGAACAATAATAAAGTCAGTGCAAGGTTTTTCATGGAACATAAGCAGAACACTTCTTCTATAACAGGAAAAAGCGTCGCTTGGTTTAATACAAAATTTATGCGCAGATAAGATTTTTCTGTGTTATTCTAATAACGGAATTTAATAATGAGCTGTGTTCGTTCACATGAGCAACTTTGAAGCTGAGCGGTCCAAGGCCACTCCAAACCATCTTCGTTTTGAACGCTGAAAATTACTTCTAATTACGGAAGCCAAGTTGAATGTTTTGAACAATATTTATTGCGTTGACATGTCGTAAAGTATAACGACTCGGTGATGTGGACTGGAAATTACGTCGTTGTGCCGGAACAGCCATTTTTCTTGCAGCGATGATCGACCTACGAAAAAAACGATAAGATTGTTCAACAAGAGAACGTGCGAACATTCCTCATGGACATGAAATTGGAATTTTATTTCAAGCCCATTTGATGCGTAGTAATGTAAAATCTTGAAAAGGTTCGTAATAATATCAATGAATAAACGTTCAATTATATT